TAGTCCATCTCAGGGCCTAGGCACTGACTCTGAGCTCTTTTGCTCAAGAATAACGCTCTACCACTTTGAGCCACAGCGCCACTTCCAGCTTTTGGGTGGTTAATTAGAGATGAGAGTCTCAAGGACTTTCCCAGCCATGGTTGACTTTGAAACAATCCACTGATCTCAGACTCCTGAGTCACTGGCATTACAGATGTGAGCCACTGGCACCAGGCTTCTAGCTTGGTATTTTTGTTGTTTGCTCACTTGTCTTTTTTGTTGGTGGTGGTGGTTGTGGGGCCTTAACTCTGGGCCTGGGCGCTGTCCCTCAGCTCTTCAGCTCAAGGATAGCGCTCTACCACTTGAGTCACAGAGCCACTCCAGTTTTTTCTGCTTATGTGGTGCTGAGGAATCGAACCCAGGGCCGCAGGCATGCAAGGCAAGCGCTCTACCACTGAGCCACCTTCCCAGCCCCTCATTTGTCTTTTGAGATAACGTCTCCCCATCCAAACCAGGCTGGCCTGGAACCCTTCAGCCTCAGCCTCCCCAAGTATTCACCTTGCTGGTTTTGAACTGGGTGGTGAGAGGTTTGGGACACGTGGGCGATCACTGCCTGTGGGACAACAGAGAAAGGTCTGGAATCTGGGTGTGTGTCAATTCCAGGGTAAAGTCCTGTTTCTCAACCCTGGGCTGCATCTTGGGAAACAGGCTGAGGTTGTGTCACATGCTGTACAATGCATCCAGAGTTTACAATTGAGTGGGTACAATTTACAAGTCATGCAGCCATCGCCATAATAAGTTCCAGAACATTCCATCACCCACAAAAACCCACTTCCTGTCACTGGATCCCATTATTCTAGACGCTTCCTGTTAATGGTGCCACACAGGACGGGACCTTTTGTTTCTGCGTCTCTCACTGAGCACAGCTGGCCTCCAGGGTACTTGGTGACATAGCATGGGTACAGCCTCATCTTGTTCCTGGCTGACTAATATTTTCTTGTACAAACATAGTCCATTTCATAAATCCGTTCACTATTAGATCATTTATTTGTTATTTTTGATGTTCTGAGTATTTCAGATCACACTCTGTTGACTTCCAGAGCTCCTGGGTCTGTTCCTAGAAGGGAAGCATTGAATGGTCCATCATTAACTCCTGTCTTTATTTGCTCCTTTCAGGAATTTGCACACCTCTGCAAAGCAGATGCCTGGGCAGTGGAAGCGGTGGTGGAGGAATTTACTGTTGACTCAGGAGATTATTTAATGAGTGTGCATACAGTGACTCACAATGAATCTGGACTTTAAGACTCCAGGCCTAAACTTGATGAGCTCCATATAGCAGATCTGGCCACTGCCCCTCTATACCAAATAAAGCCGGCACCAGTGGCTCATGTCTGTAATCCTAGCTACTAGATGCTGAGATCTGGGGATTGCAGTTCAAAGCCAGGTTGGAAACACAACTCTGTGAGACTCTTATCACTAATTAACAACCAAAAAGCCAGAAGTAGAGCTCTGGAGCAAGTGGTAGAGTGCTAGCCTTGAGGGGAAAAAAAAGGTTTTAAAAAAAAAGCAGCTCTAAGCAGGGCACTGGTGGCTCATGCCTGTAATCCTAGCTACTCTGGAGGCTGAGATCTAAGGATCAAGGTTCAAAGCCAGCCTGGGCAGGAGAGACCGTGAGACTCCTATCTCCAATAAACCACCAGAAAACCGGAAGTGGCGCTGTAGCTCAAGTGGTAGAGCGCTTGCCTCCAGCTGAAGAGCTGAGGGACAGCACCCAGGCCCAGAGTTCAAGCCCCGCGACCGACCAAAAAAAAAAAAAGCAGCTCTGGCCTGGGAAGGTGGCTCAGTGGTAGAGTGCTTGCCTAGCATGCATAAGGTTCTGGGTTCGATTCCTCAGTACCACATAATCAGAAAAGGCCAGAAGTACCAGGCACCAGTGGCTCACGCCTTTCATCCTAGCTACTCAGGAGGCTGAGATCTGAGGATCACGGTTCAAAGCCAGCCCTGGCAGAAAAGTCCATGAGACTCTTATCTCCAATAAGCCACTAGAAAACTGGAAATGGTGCTGTGGCTCAAGCGGTAGAGCGCTCGCCTTGAGCTGACTAGCTGAGGGACAGCGCCCAGGCCCAGAGTTCAGGACCCAGGACCGACAAAAAAAAAAAAAAAAAAGAAAGAAGGAAAGAAAAAAAGAAAAGAAAAGGCCAGAAGTGGCGCTGCAGCTCAAGTGGTAAACACTAGCCTTGGGCAAAAGCAGCTTAGGGACAGTGCCCAGGCCCTGAGTTCAAGCCTCAGTACATATGCACATGAGCACGCGCACACACACACACACACACACATCACACACACACACACACACACACACACACACACATACAGAGCATGAAGGGCAGAGAAAGATTGATTACATAGTGGAGCCAGGGGAAGTTGGCCCTGCAATTTAACTTCAGGGTACAAACATGAGCTGTATGTTTCAGTAGACAGACATCCGGGTACTGGTGGCTCACACCTATAATCCTAGCTACTCAGGAGGCTGAGATCTCAGAATCCTGGTTGAAAGCCAACCAGCGTCCATAGGACTCTTACCTCCAATGAACCACCAGAACACCAGAAGTGGCGCTGTGGCCTAAAGTGGTAGAGCGCTCACCTTGAGTGAGAAAGCTGTGGGACAGCGCCCAGGCCAGGAGTTCAAGTCCCACAATGGACTAAAAATAAATAAATAAATGGTGAAAAACAAAGAGCTGGGGACAGGAAGGAGGAGAAATGTATAATTATTAAATAGACCCGCTCAAAGCTTGGCTGGTAGGTCACAGGTCAATCTTTATTTGGAGAAGGATTTGGGAGAAGCCCAAATCACTGTCCTCCCTGGTCTGTAGAAATAAGTCATGTGCCTGGGAGGTGGTCAGGTCTCAGAACTGTTGTTTCCCCCCCCAGAAGAAGCTTTTTGTCTCTTTATCGTAAAGATGTGTCTGCATACAGGTGCATTGTCCTCATAATCTGATGTGTTGAATGAAAATCCCTTTCCACAAGTATTTAAAAGAAAACCCAAGTGTTATCATCTGCCTTGCCCTTCTAGGATTCCAAGGCGATAGCAAAGTGACGGCAGAGAAAATGGCTCACCAAGCGGGGAGACGAACACTATGGAGGCAGCAATGCGAAGCTTTGCTCCTGGTTCTAATTTATTCATGAAGCCAGCCAAAGCACCTTTTAAACACCTGCTAAATGGCTGCAGCATGTGTCAGAGGCTGCCTGCCTGGCGGTGAGCAGATAACAGAGAAGGAAAAGAAAAGGGTTGGGGACAAGACATAGCTATCCAGAAGCAGGGCACCAGTGGCTCACGCCAGTAATCCTAGCTACTCAGGCAGCTGAGATCTGAAGATATGGTTCAAAGCCAGCCGGGGCAGGAAAGTCCGTGAGACTCTTATCTCCAATTAACTTGAAAAAAAAAATCCGTAAGTAGAGCTGTGGCTCAAGTAGTAGAGCACCAGCCTTGAGCAGAAAAAAAGCAAAGTGAGAGTGCAGGGCTGGGTGAGAAGGGAGGAGAAGGCTCTTATGCTGAAGGCTTGATGGAACTCCACCCCAAGTAGTGGGTAGATGGCACAGAAGGAAGCGGTGGCAAGTTGAAAAGGGTCAGTGTTGGAGGAAGTAGGTCACTGAGATTAAACCATGGATAGACATTTCTTTTTTTCTTTCTCTCCCCCGCCCTCTGGGCTTGAACTTCAGGGCCTGGGCACTGTCCCTGAGCTGCTTTTGCTCAAGGTTAGCACTCTACCACTTGAGCCACAGTGCTACTTCCTGCTTTTTCTGTGTATGTGGTGCTGAGGAATCGAACTCAGGGCTTCGTGCATGTCAGGCAAGCACTCTACCACCTAGCCACATTCCCAGACCTTTTACTTCTCTTTTTTCCAGTCTGGATTATTTCACTGAACACGATGATCCCTTTCCATCCATTTCCCTGCAAAGGACCTGATTCTTTTCTCCTTTAAGGCTGAATAATTCACCGTATGCAGATACACCACAGTGTCTTGCTCACTTTTCCATGTACAGGTACCTAGGCTGACTCCAGATCTTGCTTCATGGTGACTAGTTCTGTCCCTCAGCCAGGTGCCCAGGATGCAGGAGACATTGAGCTGATACCCAACCGTGGCCAAAGACAGAAAAGAATATTCCAGGTGGAAGCAGCAGCAAAGGCCCAGAAGCACCAAGGAAGGAGAAGGTAATTCATTTGACAAGCAGAGGACTGAGAGGCAAGTGGAGTCTTCAGCCTGGGGAGACCGCAGGGAGCAGCTGTGGACAGAAAGGCGTCCAGGCCTCATTCAGGTACAGGGCCGCAGGGCCTCGTGTCCCCGATGTCTACCAAGTCCATGTAGACTTTTTAATTTCCCAATATCCTTTTCCAAATGCATCATCGCCAGCTACCCAGCTCCTGATTCCTGCTCCAGCCTGGCCCACATGCGTCGTAGCATCCCAACTTCTGGGACCTGAACATCAGTTTTATAATGGATCCATTGAACAGGCAGAAAAGTCAAGGGTGGACCGAGAGCAGAGGGTCCGAGGGAATAAATGAGGTCTCACACACACAGCTTTTGGTTTTGCAGGATGATATCCCTACCGCGGGATACAACCGCTTAGGAGCTTCACTCCTTCCATGGTAACCAAAGGCCGTCCCCATAGCAACAGGGGCGGGGCCCGTCCCGGATCCACAGTTGCCCGGATCTGGCTGGGGCCGGGAGTCTCGCTTTTGGGCCCGGGAGGAGGAGCAGCCCGCGTCGCGCCTACTGGCGCTTAAGGAGCTCCGCCCACACGCGCTTCCCATTGGTCCCGAGCAGGTCCGAGCGCAGCCGAACTTGACGCACCACCCGCAGCTTTCCCTACCCACCTCCCACGCGGCTCAGATGCTTTTCCAGCCAATCACAGACGGGCGCGCCGACCCTCATCTGCATGGTCACGGCCCAGGGGAGAGAGACAGCCAATCGGTGCATCGGGTAGAGCTTTTATTAGCGTGCCGGGGGGCGGAGCTGGGCGGGGCGACAGACAGGCAGGGGCGGGCGCGGGGCGGTTGGTTGGAGCGTCGCCGCAGTCGAAAGGTCCGGGAAAGTTTCTTTGGAGGTGAAAACAGCCGCGGAACTTGGGGGCCCGGCGATGGGGCGGGGGCGCGGGGGTCCCGAGTCCGGGATGGGGTGTTTTCCAGGCTGGCGAGTCGCTGACCCAAGCCTCCCGGCGGGGTTGATCACCCAACAAAGGATTCCTGGGGCGCCCGCCCTCAGTGCCTTCCCCGCCCCCGGATCCGGCCCCCCCCGGCGCCGGCATTCAGGGCTCCGGGTCGGGGCGGAGGGCGGAGCCCGCCATCCGGGGCTCGGGCGCCCCTCACTTCTGCCCGCGTCTGTGTTCCAGATCCGGCCCCTGAGCGGCCATGTCCCACGGCCCCAAGCAGCCCGGCGCGGCCGCCGCGTGAGTGAGCCCCCCCACCCGGGCCCGTCCCCGCTCCAGCCCTCCCGGGGGTCTGTGCCCCCCCGCCCGGGCCCGTCCCCGCTCCAGCCCTCCCGGGGGTCTGTGCCCCCCCGCCCGGGCCCGTCCCCGCTCCAGCCCTCCCGGGGTCTGTGCCCCCCCCCCCCCGCCCGGGCCCGTCCCCGCTCCAGCCCTCCCGGGGGTCTGTGCCCCCCCCCGGGCCCGTCCCCGCTCCAGCCCTCCCGGGGGTCTGTGCCCCCCCCCCCGGGCCCGTCCCCGCTCCAGCCCTCCCGGGGGTCTGTGCCCCCCCCGCCCGGGCCCGTCCCCGCTCCAGCCCTCCCCGGGGTCTGTGCCCCCCCCCCCGGGCCCGTCCCCGCTCCAGCCCTCCCGGGGGTCTGTGCGCGCCCGCCCGGGCCCGTCCCCGCTCCAGCCCCCCCGGGGGTCTGTGCCCCCCCCCCCCGCTCCAGCCCTCCCCGGGGTCTGTGCGCCCCCCCCCTCCAGCCCTCCCCGGGGTCTGTGCCCCCCCCCCCCGCTCCAGCCCTCCCCGGGGTCTGTGCGCCCCCCCCCCCTCCAGCCCTCCCCGGGGTCTGTGCGCCCCCCTCCCTGCTCCAGCCCTCCCCGGGGTCTGTGCGCCCCCCCCCCCGCCCGTGCCCGTCCCCGCTCCAGCCCTCCCCGGGGTCTGTGCGCCCCCCCCCCGCTCCAGCCCTCCCGGGGGTCTGTGCCCCCCCGCCCGTGCCCGTCCCTGCTCCAGCCCTCCCCGGGGTCTGTGCGCCCCCCCCACCCGTGCCCCCCCCCCCCCGCTCCAGCCCTCCCCGGGGTCTGTGCGCCCCCCCCCCCGCTCCAGCCCTCCCGGGGGTCTGTGCGCCCCCCCTCGCTCCAGCCCTCCCGGGGGTCTGTGCCCCCCCGCCCGTGCCCGTCCCCGCTCCAGCCCTCCCCGGGGTCTGTGCGCCCCCCGCCCCGCCCGGCCCCCCCCCCCCCGCTCCAGCCCTCCCCGGGGGTCTGTGCGCCCCCCCCCCCCCCGCACGGGGCCTGCACGCCCCCACGGACAGCTCCCAAACTCTCCGGGCTTCCAGGACGCTCGACTGTCTCCCTTTAGCGTTCCAGCCTCGACCCCTAGATTCCGACCCCCTCGTACCTGCCTCTCCCCCGTGCCCCCTCGAGCCCACCTCGGCCATCGGTGGTCTCTAAACGCAGGGGAGGGCGTGTGGGGGGTCGTGGGGAACTTCTCGGGACCGGTACGACCTTGGTGTCCCATGACCCCAGACCGGCGGGCGGCAAGGCTCCTCCGGGCCAGCATGGGGGCTTCGTGGTGGCTGTCAAGCAGGAGCGCGGCGAGGCTCCCCGGGCCGGCGAGAAGGCGTCCCCGGAGGAGGAGGTGAGTCCCCGTCCTCGCCCCCCAGGTCCCCTGGCCCGGGCCCCGCCCCCAGGCCTTGAAGCCCCGCCCCAGACGAGATTTGAATTCGCGGTGGCCGGGACCTCAGCCTCGGTTCCGGATCGGAGCAGAGACCCCGCCTCCAGCGCGAAGCCACGCCCCCACAAAGGCCTCGCCCACTGCCCAATTCTAGCTCTGCTGGCACTGAAGGCCTGGCCCATGGCTGCATCCCTGTGGGCAGCCACCCACCAGGAACCATGCCCACATCCAAGCCAGCCTGGGTCCCCAATGTTGGATTCCCCTCATCCCTGGCCAAGAAGTGTCCTATTCTCTCTCTCTCTTTTTTAATGGTGTCAGCACTGGGGCTTTAACTCAGGGCCTTGTGGTTTTGCGTAGGCTTTTCACCCAAGGATGGTGCCTTACCGCTTGAGCCACACCTCCACTTTGCTGGTTATTTGGAGATAAGCGTTTTCTTGGATTTGTGTGCCTGGTCTGGCTTTGGACCATGACCCTCAGATCTCAGCCTCCTAAGTAGCTAGAGTTACAGAGCCTGGAATCAAGTCTCCCCAGTAGGGACCTGTCTGGTTACTCCATTTCCCTAGTTTTTGCCTTTGGCTAGGCTCCGCCCATTACTAGCCCAGCCCCTGCCATGCTCGGCCCTGTCCCTGCTCTCCGGACATCACAACAACCCAGTCCTGTCCCGCAGCCTGTGAAGAAACGTGGCTGGCCCAAGGGTAAGAAGCGGAAGAAGATTCTGCCCAATGGTCCCAAGGCCCCTGTTACTGGCTACGTGCGCTTCTTGAACGAGAGGCGGGAGCAGATCCGGACTCGCCACCCAGACCTGCCCTTCCCGGAGATCACCAAGATGTTGGGCGCCGAGTGGAGCAAACTGCAGCCTGCAGAGAAGCAGGTAGGTGGAGCCACCGAAGGTTTTCTACCAGTAATAGTTAGCAACAGACCAGAACAGATCGACAGCTTAATAACTAACAAGGTTAGGTTTAAATATGTCATGATGCCCCCCCCCTTTTTTTTTTGCCAGTCCTGGGGCTTGAACTCAGGGCCTGGGCACTCTCCCTGGGTTCTTTTGCTCAAGTCTAGCACTCTACCACTTGAGCCACAGCGCCACTTCCAGCTTTTTTTCCTGGGTATGTGGTACTGAGGAATCGAACCCAGGGCATTATGCATGCTAGGCAAGCAATCTACCACTAGGTCACATTCCCAGCCCAAGGACTTTTTTTTTTTGCCGGTCGTGGACCTGAACTCTGGGCCTACGTGCTGTCCCTCAGCTCTTCAGCTCAAGTTAGCGCTTGAGCCACAGCGCCACTTCCGGCTTTTTCTGTTTATGTGGTGCTGAGGAATCGAACCCAGGGCCTCAGGCATGCAAGGTAAGCGCTCTACCACTGAGCCACCTTCCCAGCCCGACTTTTTGTTTTTAATGCAAACTTCTGATTTTAAAATCCTGACTTTATTTTTATTTTGGGGATTGTATTCAGGGCCTGGGCACTGCTCTTTAGCTTTTTCACTCAAGGGTGATACTCTACCACAAGTTACTTCTGGCTTTGTGTGTTGACTGGAGATAGAGTCTCATGAATTTTTCTGCCCCAGTTGGCTTTGAATTGTGATCCTCAGATCTCAGTCTCCTGCGTAGCTTGGATTATAGGCATGAGCCACCACGGTTCTGGCAATTAGTTTAAAATGTTCATGCCTGAAATCCTAGTTACTCAGAAGCTGAGATCTGAGGATAGCCGGAAAAGTGTGAGACTCTTCATGTCCAATTAACTACAAAAAAAAAAAAAAAAAAGAGCCAGAACTGGAGCTGTGATTCAAATGATAGAGTACTAGCCTTGAGCAAAACAAGATCAAGGACAGCACCCAGGCCAAGAGTTCATGCCCCAGGATTGGCACCAAAAGAAAAAGAAATCTTTCAGTAACAAAGAGGAGATGAAGTTCAAACCACCTGAAACTGAGATTTCAGTCAGCAAAAACAGTGCAGGAGAGCAGTCAAGGCCTCAAGCCAGACTTTGAAGGGAGATGTACAGAGGTCCGGGAGGCCAGAGATGGTTTCTGAGAGCCCAAGTTGGGAGAATTAGGGTTGTGGGGGGTGAAGTGGCAGCTAAGGAGGCCCCTTGAGGAGCAGGTAAAGGACATAGGGAACTACAGGAAGCCCAGTACTGGGAGGGGGCACTGCCAGAGCTGGGGGTGGCCGCAGGCCTGTCCCTGGGGGCTCTCCACCATCTGGCTAGGCCCAGTGATTGTGTACTGCTACATTTCCAGAGGTACCTGGATGAGGCAGAGAAGGAGAAGCAGCAGTATCTGAAGGAACTGCGGGCCTACCAGCAATCAGAGGCCTACAAAGTGTGCAGCGAGAAGATTCAAGAGAAGAAGATAAAAAAAGGTGGGCGGGCCCTGAGCACCTGTGAGTCGCAAACCCCCACCCAGCTCCGCGCAAGGTGATCACATAACTAGCCAGTGGCCAGATGGGGGTGCCCAGGTGGGGGGCGTGGCCCAGGATGGGCAGACTGACAGGGCTGACTCTTCTCCCCTCCCTCCGCACCAGAGGACTCGGGCTCCGGGCTCATGAACACGCTCTTGAACGGACACAAGGTAAGGACCCTTTAGGAAGTACCTGGGGACGGAAGGTCCCGAGTGACCCGGGCACAGGGTAGGAAGTGACCGTCGCTGGCCATGGGGATGGCAGGTGGGCAGGGTCGCCAGGAGTCCATCAAGGCACCTCTAGGGACCTGTGGCTGCTCCCCTAAAGAAACAATTGCCACACTGTCCCTCTGTCCCAGGGTGGGGACTGCGATGGCTTCTCCACCTTCGACGTTCCCATCTTTACTGAAGAGTTCCTAGACCAAAACAAAGGTGAGCGCCCATTGGATCCTGGAACTGGTCATTGGTGGTGGGAGGGAGGGACCCTGGCTGGAGGAGGGGGCAAAGGCCGCGGTGGGGGGTGGGGGGTAGGGGTGGAGGAGCCGGGCTCTGACCCTTCCCCGCCCCTCCCCCTGCCCCCCACCCCCACCCCGTGGGCAGCGCGGGAGGCGGAGCTGCGGCGACTGCGGAAGATGAACGTGGCCTTCGAGGAGCAGAACGCCGTCCTGCAGAGACACACGCAGAGCATGAGCAGCGCGCGCGAGCGCCTGGAACAGGAGCTGGCGCTGGAGGAGCGCAGGACGCTGGCGCTGCAGCAGCAGCTCCAGGCCGTGCGCCAGGCGCTCACCGCCAGCTTCGCCTCGCTGCCGGTGCCGGGTGAGCCGTCTTGCCTCGCTCCGCCCGCAGCCGCCCAGCCCCCGTGGTTGGTCCGGCTCTGATTCGCCCACAGCCGCCAGGCCCCGCCCCCGTCCCACTTTGATTCGCCCACAGCCGCCAGGCCCCGCCCGCCGTCTTGCTCTTTCACGCCCACAGCTATCAGGTCACGCCGGGTCACGCCCATAGCCGCCAGGCCCCGCCCGTTGTCTCACACTTGGCTGCGCCCTCCGCTGTCGGGTCTGCCGGCGCCGGCGCCGGCTCCCGTCTGTCCGTCCTCACTTCTGTCCCTGCCGTTCCACCCCTGCCGGTCTCCCCATCCTCCCCCAGGCCGCCTCAGTTCGTCCCTCGCTCGCCCCTAAGACTCCAAACTCCTCCAGGCCGGTCCCTGGGTTCTGTCCGGGCTCATCCGGGTCTCGGCCCCGTGCCCCACCCCCCCCCCGCCGTGTCAGTGCCGGCCACGCCCACCGCAGGCCGCGCCCCCGCAGGCCACGCCCACCGCAGGCCCTCACCCCACCCCCCTTCCCCCGCCCCGCGCCCACCGCAGGCCACGCCCCCGCCGGCCCTCACCCCCCCTTCCCCCGCCCCGTGCCCACCGCAGGCCACGCCCACCGCAGGCCACGCCCCCCGGCCCTCACCCCCCCCCCCTTCCCCCGCCCCGCGCCCTCCGCAGGCCGCGCCCCCGCCGGCCCTCACCCCCCCCTTCCCCCGCCCCGCGCCCGCCGCAGGCACCGGCGAGACGCCGACGCTCAGCACCCTGGACTTCTACATGGCGCGGCTGCACGGCGCCATCGAGCGCGACCCGGCGCAGCACGAGAGGCTCATCGTCCGCATCAAGGAGATCCTGGCCCAGGTCGCCAGGTGCGTGCCGCCGGGCGGGGACCGGTGCGGTCTCCCCGAGGGCCCGGGCGGGCGGGTTCCGGGCTGGGCCGGTGACGCGCGGCCTGTCGCTTTGTCCCCATGGCAGCGAGCACCTGTGAGGGCTGAGCCCGCACCGAGGAGCGGCTCCGGCCGACGCCCTTCCCCGCACAGGACGGAGGAGACGCCGCGGGTCCAACTTCGGGGCCCCGCCCCCATGCTGCACCTTTGGGGATCCACCCCCCCTAAAATTAAGCTTCTACGGCATCCCCCCAAGCTTTCAGCGCCCCCCAGCTCCCTGAACCCAGAGAAAGCACGGGCCGTTGTTGATGTACCCAGAAGACCCTGGAGCCCGGCCCGCTCACCTCCCAGCCGGGCCGCACACGGGGGGGGGGGGGGGGGGGGTCCCCCAGGCTCCCGGACCTGAGGTGGCCCCGGGGGCTGGGCCGTCCAGGAGGCGCTCAGGCGCCAGCGTTTGGAATAAGTTGATTTGTGTTTGAAATAAAAAGTTGATTTGCGTTCTAAACTTGTGAGTGGGCAGTTGGGGGGGGGGGGCTGGGCCAGGATACGCACCCACAGACTAACCCCACTCTACCCCTGCCTGAGAATCGGGGTCTGTGCTGCCCACTTCTCAGGTGAGGAAACTGAGGCCCAAGCCTGGCTGAACACAGCAAGGCAGGGCCATCTATTCCCCCCCCCACACACACCTTGAAGGTGGAGGTGACTTCAGCCAAACACAGGGGACTCGGGGAATTTGGGGACAGCGTGGCCACCCACCTCAGCTTTCTGCTTCCTGACTGTGACTCCTACTGCCCCCACACACACACACAACCTAGACCACTGCAGCCATTTTAAGATGCACAATCCAGCCCGGCACTGGCGGGTCATGCCTATAATCCTAGCTACTCAGGGGGCTGAGATCAGAGGATTGTGGTTCAAAGTCAACCCAGCCAGGAAAGTCCATGAGACTTTTTTTTTTTTTTTTTTTTTTGTGGGTCGTGGAGCCTGACCTCGGCCTGGGTGCTGTCCCTCAGCTCTTCAGCTCAAGGCTAGTGCTCTATCACTTGAGCATAGCGCCACCTCCAGCTTTTTCTGCTTATGTAGTGCTGAGGAACTGAACCCAGGGCCTCATGCATGCAAGGCAAGCACTGAGCCACCTTCCCAGCCTTCCATGAGACTCTTCAATTAACCACCAGAAAACTGGAAATGGCGCTGTGGCTCAAGTGATAGAGCACTAGCCTTGAGCTGAAGAGTTGAGGGACAGCACAGCACCCAGGCCCCACGACCAAACCAAAAAAAAAAGCACAATCCAGCTGGGCACTAGTGCTCACGCCTGTAATCCTAGCTACTCAAGAGGCTGAGAGCTCAAAAGCAGCCTAAGCAAGAAAGTCTAAGAGAACATTATCTCCCATTAACCATCAGAAAAGCCAGAAGTGGAGCTGTGGCTCACAAGGCTGTGTGGCCATCATCATTATACTTCTAGAACATTCTATCACCTCAAAAGAAAGCCCCACCGCTAGCAGCTCCTCAGGTCCTGCCTGCCCCCCACTTCCCAATCTACTTTCTATCTTTGGCATCCATGGACCCACACACTGGGCCTTTTTTTTTTTTTTTTTTTGGTCCGGTCATGGGTCCTGAACTCTGGGCCTGGGCGCTGTCCCTCAGCTCTTCAGCTCAAGGCTAGCGCTCTACCGCTTGAGCCACAACGCCACTTCCGGCTTTTTTCTTTTTGCTTATGTGGTGCTGAGGAATCGAACCCAGGGCCTCAGGCATGCAAGGCAAGCGCTCTACCACTGAGCCACCTTCTCAGCTCCACTGTGGGCCTTTGGTGTCTGCTTCTCCCACGCAGCCTCAAGGTCCCTCACACTATAGCAGGGGTCAGGGCCTTGTCCTGTTCTTGAATGTGTAGTATTCCAGTGTGTAGATGACCACCCTGTAAGTTTCCACTTGTCTGGGACAATGGACCTTCTGGCTGTGGTAACCATGTGTGCATCATTTTCTGTCCAACTCCTATTGGCCATTCGTTGGAGTCTTTTTTTTTTGGGTCCGGTCGTGGGGCCTGAACTCTGGGCCTGGGCACTGTCCCTCAGCTCTTCAGCTCAAGGCTAGCGCTCTACCGCTTGAGCCACAGCGCCACTTCCGGCTTTTCTTCCTTTTGCTTATGTGGTGCTGAGGAATCAAACCCAAGGCCTCAGGCATGCAAGGCAAGCGCTCTACCACTGAGCCACCTTCCCAGCCCCTCGTTGGAGTCTTTAAGTTGCCCAGTCATGGGTAATTCTGTAGTTCACTGATGGAATGTGTTCCTAGAAATTACTGGTGAAGCCATGGAATTTTTTTATGTTGTTGTTGTTCTTGTGGACCAAGGATTTGATCTCAGAGACTTATACTCCAGCTGGCAATCTGCCACTTGAGCCACACCTCCAGCTCTGCTTTGTGCTACCTAATTGGAGATAAGAGTCTCGGACTTTCCTGCCTACACTTTCAATTGTGATCCCCACATCTCAGCTTCCTGGATGACAGGCATGAGCCACCAGCTCCTTGCTCTAATGAGATAATGCGATGGAGTTGGAATGTGTTTCCCCCCTCCCCCCAGTCCTTGCCCCAGTCCCTCCAAATGCGACCTTATTTGGAAGTAGGGTGGCTGTCGATGAGCCCTTGGCAGAGGAGCCGGCCCCGGGCCAGGAACTGCTGCCTTTACAAGATGATAAAATTTGGACACGGATACAGGGGAGAAAGCCACTGACCAGAGGCAGGGACTGGAATGACTGAGTCCGGAATGGCCAAGAACTGCCCCAGCCACCGGAAGCTGCCAGGGCCCAGCCAGGGCTTCCGCAGGACTCGGGCGGGGGTGGGGTGGCGCCCAGGTAGCCTTGCTGATAATACCTTGATTTCAGAATTCTAGATTCTGAAATGGGGAGAATTGATTTCCCTCCCTCCCTCCCCTTTGCCCCCCCTTTTGTTGGTCTTGGGGCTTCGAACTCAAGACCCTGGGCGCTGTCTCTGAGGTTTTTTTTTTGCTTAAGGCTAGCACTCTACCACTCTGAGCCACAACTCCACTTCCGGTTTTCTGGTGATTCATTGAAGATGAGTCTCACAGACTTTCCTGCCCAGGCTGGCTTTGAACCACAATCCTCAGATCTCAGCCTCCTGAGTAGCTGGGATGACAGGTGTGAGCCAATGGTCTCCCACTAGAGTACATTTCCTTCCTCCCTCCCTCCCTCTCTCTTTCCTTCCTTCTTTCCTCCTTCCCTCCCTCCTTCCTTCCTTCTTCCCTTCCTTTCTCCCTCCTTTTCCCCACCTCCCTCTCTCTTTCTTTTGCTAGTCCTGGGGCTTGAACTCTGAGCCTGGGGACTGTCCCTGAGCTTCTTTTGCTCAAGGCTAACTCTCTACCACTTGAGCCACAGCGCCACTTCTGGCTTTTTCTGAGTAGTTTATTAGAGATAAGAGTCTCCTGGACTGACCACGCTGGATCCTCGGATCTCAGCCTCCTGAGTAAGTAGGATTGTAGGTGCGAGCCAGCCATGTGCACACATGCAGAGTACATCTCTTCTGGGACAGTGTCACCCCTTCTTTCGCTCTTTCCTAGTTTTCCCCTCCTCTCTCCACCCACAAGTTATATAGTTCCTTTTCACTGTGTTGAGTGAGTCCAGTTTTTGTGTCTATTTCAAAATGTTTTGAATATACAAGTCAACAAATGTAGGTACAGTTTTCACAGTGTCGCTAATTCTAGAACATTCCATCACCCCTCTCATCTCCCTGAGCGATGGCCTGGCTACTCCCTTCCCCCAGCCCACCGCCCCCAGGAGTCCCCTTCCTGTCTCCCAATCCAGCCGTTTCCTACCCATGGGGCCTTTTGTGTCTGCGTCTCTCACTAAGCACAGTGGCCTCAAGGTCCCTCCACGTGACGGGTCACAGCCTTGTCCTGTTCCTGGTTGTGTACTATTCCAGGGTGAATGGACCATGCCTTGAGGGTCCTTGATCTCTCCACCCAGTGATTGGTTTTTAAACTTCAAGTAAACTTCCTCTCATCTCCCCTAAACCTCCTGGGACCTGCCTCGCCATCAGCAAGGGATGATTGCAAATGTTGTCGTGAGGCACAGAGCCCTCTCTGGGCTCAGCTGGAAGGGACAGCAGGACACCCCCAAGGGACCTAAGTCCTGTTGATGGAGGCTGGATCCCTGACTGGTGATAGTGATGGATGCAGGGCGGGTGCACCAGTACTGAATGCATAGGAGACTTTCACAGGCAGCTCCTGAAACCCTGAGCTACCTTCTTCTCCTGTAACCTGGGGATCCCCTCACCCTGTCCCCCCAAGACTTCCTCGAACAGTCCCCGTGTGCCAGGTACTGCACACAGCTCACTTACAGCAAGGGAGTAAACCCCCCAAACCCTGCTCAGCTGAGGCTGACCGTGTAACTGCGGACGCACGGAGCCCGGAGAAAAGAAATGATTTTTTGCCGAGCACTGGTGGCTCCCACCTGTCATCCGAGCTACTCAGGAGGCTGAGATCTGAGGATCGCAATTCAAAGCCAGATCAGGCAGGAAAGTCTGTGAAACCCTGGTCTCCCATTAACCACCAGAACACTGGAAGTGGTGCTGTGGCTGAGGTACAGCACCCAGGTCCAGAGTTCAAGCCCCACAACTGAGCAAAAAATTAAAAAAAAAAAAAGAAAGAAATGATTATTTTTCTTTTGTTTTGAAACAAACTTCAGACCCTCCCCAGTGCTGAGATTCAAGGCATGTGTTGCTATACTGGGTAGAAGTCAAACATCTGTCGTGTCAGATGTGGGAAGCGGGCTTTGGGCAGACACTGAAAGAAGCTGAGAGGAGGGCGGCAGGGAGGAGGCGGGCAGGGCCTGGTGGGCTGTGGGGAAGACCCGGGAGTTTTCCTCTGGGGAAGTAAGAGCCGCAGAGCATTGTGGGCAGAGCAAGGACTGAATGTGGTCGGTTATACCAGCATTGCCCCCCTTCTCCATCACCTTAAAAATGATGGGGCCTGCGGGGTGCTGGTGGCTCATGCCTGTAACCCTAGAGACTCAAGAGGCTGAGACTTAGGGATCAGGGTTCAAAGCCAGCCTGGGGAAGGGAAGTCTGTAAGATTCTTATCTCAAATGAACCAACAAAAAAGGCAGAAGTTGCTCTGTGGCTCAAGTGGTAGAACATCAGCTTTGAGCAAAAAAGCTCAGGAACAGAGCCCAGTCCCTGAGTTCAAGTCCAAGGCTGGCACACATACACAAAATATATTCTTTTCTTTTCTTTTATTCATTTATTTTTTGTTGGTTGTGGGGCTTGGACTCTGGGCCTGGGCACTGTCCCTCAGCTCTTCAGCTCAAGGCCAGCGCTCTACCACTTGAGCCACAGCGCCACTTCCAGCTTTCTGGTGGTTCATTGGAGATAAGAGTCTCACGGACTTTTTTGCCTGGACTGGCTCTGAACTGTGATCCTCAGATCTCAGCCTCCTGAGTAGCTAGGATTACAGCTGAGAGCCACTTGCAGAGTGTGTGTGTGTGTGTGTGTGTGTGTATCTTCTGTCTGTCATCTCCCTGCTATTCTGTCCATCCGTCTGTCAGTCATCTCCCTGTTATTCCTGTCCATCTGTCTGTTTCTTGTCTCCATTATTCCTGTCTGTCTGTGGTCTCCCTGATACTCCCGTCCATCTCCCTGGTATTCCTGTCTATCTGTCTACTACCTCTCTGTCATTCCCTTCTGTCTCTTGTCTCCCTGTTATTCTGTCTCTGTCTCTCTGTCGTCTCCCCGTTATTCCTGTCCGTCTGTCTGTCCCTTGTCTCCCTGTTATTCCCATCTGTCTGTCTGTCTTCTCCCTGTTACTCCCGTCTCTCATCTCCCTGTTTTTCCCCCGGCCGCAGCCCAGGTCCCCGAGGACCCGGGCGTCCCCGGGGAGGGCGCAGCTGGCCCTGGCAGCGCCCGGACGCCTGGGCCCCGCGCCCCCCCGCGCCCCCTCCGCGCCCCGCGGTGTCGCCTTGCCGCGCGGCTCGGGTTCCCGGATCCCCTTTCGCGGGGCGGCTCGGCTGTCGCCGCCGTCGCGGCCGGGGCCGGGGGAGGGGAGGCTGCAGGAAGCGGCGGATCGGGCGGCGGCCCGGGCGGGCGGGTGGCGGAGCTCGAGCGGCCATGGACGGCGCCGCGGCCCGCGCGCCCCCCGCGCCCCCGCGCGCGCCCCCCGCGCCCCCCGCCGAGCCCCCGGCCGCGCCCCGCGCGCGCCCGCGCCTGGTCTTCCGCACGCAGCTGGCGCACGGCAGCCCGACGGGCAAGATCGAGGGCTTCACCAACGTCCGCGAGCTCTACGCCAAGATCGCCGAGGCCTTCGGCATCGCGCCCACCGAGGTGAGCGCGGGGCCCGGGAGAGCGGGGCTCCGGCCCGGGGCGCGCCTGCGGGCTGGGGCTGGGGCTGGGGCGGGTCCCCCCTTCCAGCGCGGGCGGGCCTGGGGACCTGCGCGGGGCGGGCGGGGCGGGCGGGGCGGGGGGCTTTCCCGGCCGGGGCCCCGCGCGCCTCGCGGCCCCCACCTTCCGGAGAACCCCCGAGGTGAGGCGCTGGGGTCAGCCCTGGGGTCGGCCCCGGGGTCAGCCCTGGGGCCAGCCCCGCGGTCAGCCCTGCGGTGGGCCCCGGGGTCAGCCCTGGGGCCAGCCCCGCGGTCAGCCCTGCGGTAGGCCCCGGGGTCGGCCCCGTGGTCAGCCCTGCGGTAGGCCCTGGGGTCAGCCCCGGGGTCAGCCCTGGGGTCGGCCCCGGGGTCAGCCCTGCGGTAGGCCCCGGGGTCAGCCCCGGGGTCAGCCCTGGGGTCGGCCCCGGGGTCAGCCCCGGGGTCAGCCCCGTGGTCAGCCCTGGGGTCGGCCCCGGGGTCAGCCCTGGGGCCAGCCCCGCGGTCAGCCCTGCGGTGGGCCCCGGGGTCAGCCCTGGGGCCAGCCCCGCGGTCAGCCCTGCGGTAGGCCCCGGGGTCGGCCCCGTGGTCAGCCCTGCGGTAGGCCCTGGGGTCAGCCCCGGGGTCAGCCCTGGGGTCGGCCCCGTGGTCAGCCCTGCGGTAGGCCCTGGGGTCAGCCCTGGGGTCAGCCCTGGGGTCGGCCCCGGGGTCAGCCCCGGGGTCAGCCCCGTGGTCAGCCCTGGGGTCGGCCCCGGGGTCAGCCCCGTGGTCAGCCCTGCGGTAGGCCCTGGGGTCGGCCCTGGGGTCAGCCCTGGGGTCGGCCCCGGGGTCAGCCCTGGGGTCAGCCCTGGGGTCGGCCCCGGGGTCCGCCTCGGGGTCAGCCTGGGGTCCTCGGCCTGCGCTCTGGGCCTCCGTGTCCCCAGGGCGGCCCCCGCTGACCCCGCGCGTCCCTCCCTGGGACAGATCCTGTTCTGCACCCTCAACAGCCACAAGGTGGACATGCAGAAGCTGCTGGGCGGCCAGATCGGCCTGGAGGACTTCATCTTCGCGCACGTGCGCGGCGAGACCAAGGAGGTGGAGGTCACCAAGACGGAGGACGCGCTGGGGCTGACCATCACCGACAACGGGGCCGGCTACGCCTTCATCAAGGTGCCGGGAGGGAGGGCAGGGGCGGCTGCCACGCGCCGAGTGACCTGCGCGGATGCGGGGGGTGGAGGGGAGCCGGCTGGGGAGCCCCGAGGAGGGGGAGGCGGGGTTCCCCTCCCTGCCCCCCCCAGTGACCCTGAGATCCCCACAGAGGATCAAAGAGGGGAGCATCATCAACCGGATGGAGACGGTGTGCGTGGGGGACAGCATCGAGGCCATCAACGATCACTCCATCGTGGGCTGCCGCCACTACGAGGTGGCCAAGATGCTGCGGGAGCTGCCCAAGGCCCAGCCCTTCACCCTCCGCCTGGTGCAGCCCAAGCGGGCCTTCGGTGAGGGCCACCTGGCACCCAGGGGGAGGCGGAGCCGTCCAGGAAGACGGGTTCTTGAGACAGAGGAGGGTGGGTGAGGGACATAAGAGGGCATGGAAGGTTCTAGAAGCATTCTGGTGGCCTGCCGGACTCGCTGCTGTCTGGGGATGGGAAGCGCAGTTTGCGGATGGGAGGAATGGGAGGCGCTTGCTTTGGAACACGGTCTTTCCCCTCAGCACTGTGGATATCTGGGGCTGAGCTCTTTTTTGGCGGAAGAGGCTGATGTCTCGAGGTTCCCAGGTCTGACAGTCATGGTATCCCCAACTTGGCACAGGGTTCCCCCAAAGGCAGAGCCAACCACAGCGAGGAACGTCTGTTCTAGATCAGACGTCATCCTGTGTACTTTAGCCAGCGTTTGTATATATGCATGTGTGTGTGTGCGTGCGTGTGTGTGTGCGTGTGTGTGTGTGTGTGTGTGCGTGTGTGTGCATGTGTGTGTGCATGTGTGTGTGCGTGCGTGCGTGTGTGTGTGTGTGCGCGTGTGTGTGCGTGCGCGTGTGCGTGCATGTGTGTGCGCGTGTGTGTGTGCGTGCGTGTGTGTGCACGCGTGCGTGTGCGTGCGTGTGTGCGTGCGTGCGTGTGTGTGCGCGTGTGTGTGCGTGTGTGTGTTGGTCCTGGGGCTCAGATTCAGTCTGGGTGCTGTTCCTAAGCTTTTTCCACTCAAGGCTTGTGCTCTACCGCTTGAGCCACAGCTCCACTTCTGGCTTTTGACTGTTGAATAGGAGGTTCCTGTCTGGGCTAGCTTTGAACTGTGAGTCTCAGATCGCAGCCTCCGGAGTAGCGATGATTTTGTATACAATTATAAGTGAGAGCCACCAGTGCCTGGCTAAGCCAGTTGTGTATTTTGTTTCCTGGTTTTGTTTTTGTTGTTGGTCCTGGGGCTTGAACTCTGGACCTGGGCACTGCCCCTGAGGTCTTCAGCTCAAGGCAAGCACTCTATCACTTGAGCCACAGCACCACTTCTGGTTTTCTGGTGGTTTGTTGGAAAAAAGAGTCTCAGGGATTTTCTTGCCTGGGCTGGCTTTGAACTGTGATCCTCAGATCTCAGCCTCCTGAGTAGCTAGGATGTCTGGCGTGAGCCACCAGTGCTTGTATTATTATCTCATCATGGACAAGCCCTTTGGGTTGCACTAGCCCAGAGCAAGCAGTTCTAGGATTCCTAGTGAATCTAGAATGAGGCCCTAGCGTGGAGTTCCAGGGTGTTCCAAGGTGTTCCAGGGTGGAGTTCCAGGTATCAGGGTGGTGAGCTGTGTCTGGAAGCCAGGAAGAATGAGTTCTACAGAGAGGGAGCTGGGAAGGTGGCTCAGTGGTAGAGTGCTTGCCTTGTATGCACGAGGCCCTGGGTTCAATTCCTCAGCACCACAAAAGCAGAAAGAGCTGGAAGTGGGTGCTGTGGCTCAACTGGTAGAGCGCTAGCCCTGAGCTGAAGAGCTCAGGAACAGCGCCAGGCCCAGAGTTCAGGCCCCATGACTGACAAAAACAAACAAACAAACAAACAGAGAGGGCCTCTCTGGATTGACCCTTTAGGTACAAGGTGATTTCTAGAATCATCTCAAGGGGAGGGGGCAAGACTGAGGTTACTTCTAGAGCCATCCTGAAGTAGTGTGGCTCCTGGGTTAGTTCCAGGAGGGCAAAAAGTATTGCAATAGGGTTTTAAGGTTCAATCAATGGTGGTAGGGAGAATACAAAAGCTCAGAAAGTTCTAGAAAGGCCCAGCTGGTGTCCTCTCAAATCTTGACTGTCCCCTCCAGATATGATCGGCCAGAGAGGCCGCAGCAGCAAGTGTGCCCTGGAGTCCAAAGTGAGCAGTGGGAGAGAGACTCTGCGGCTGCGTGCTGGGGGTGCTGCCACCGTGGAGGAGGCGGTGAGTCACGGGAGCCCATCTGTGTGTGTGCGTGTGTGTGTGCGTGCGTGCATGTGCGTGCGCTGGCCCTGGGGCTTGAACTCGGGGCCTGGGCGCTGTCCCTGAGCTCTTCAGCTCAAGGCTGGTGCTCTACCCCTTGAGCCACAGCACCACTTCCGGTTTTCTGGTGGTTCATTGGAGATGAGAGTCTCATGGACTTTCCTGCCCGGGCTGGCTTTGAACCACAATCCTCAGATCTCAGCCTCTTGAGTAATTAGGATTAGAGGCATGAGCCATCAGCATCTGGCAGGACGCACTGAGCCTCAGTTTCTCTGCCTGAGTGATGAGCAGGGTGACCTTCCCTGGGGTCAGGAAGGGTCTGCTGGGGGATCTGACCGCTCACCTCTGCTTCCTCGCCCTGCCTCAGCCCAGTGACTTTGAGGAGGAGGCCTCGGGGAAGGTGGATGACCTTCTGGAGAGTTACATGGGCATTCGGGACCCCGAGCTGGGTAAGGGGTCAGGGTAAGCTGGGGGGCCCCCGGGGGGAGGGCAGCCTGGGGAGGAGACGGGGGTCTGGGGGAGTTGGGGGCGGCAGGGTCCTCACCAGTCTCCCCGCCAGCGTCCACCATGGTGGAGACGTCCAAGAAGACGGCGAGTGTGCAGGAGTTTGCTCGCTGTTTGGACTCCGTCTTGGGCGAGTTTGCCTTCCCCGACGAGTTTGTGGTGGAGGTGTGGGCCGCCATCGGCGAGGCCAGGGAGACCTGTGGCTAGTGTGCCCGGTGGCAGAGCGCAGCCCCAGCCCGGAGGCCAGCCCCCTGCCCCAGCCCTGCGCCACAGCCCAGTCCAGCTCCACAGCCAGCGCCCCAACCAAGCCCAGGCCTGGAGGCCTGCCAGACTCCCGGACCAAGCCCTGCACCACAACTCAAGCCAGCCCTGAGACCAAGCCCTGCTCCAGAGCCCAGCCCAGCACTCACACCAGCTCCAGCTCCAAAACCCAACGAAGCTCTGACACCAGATCCAGCTCTAGAACAGAGCTCAGCCCTGAGACCAAACCCAGCTCCAGAACCCAATGCAGCTCTGACACTAGATCCAGCTCTACAACAGAGCTCATCTCTGAGAACAAGCCTAGATCTGGAGCCCAGCACATCACTGAGACTAAGTCATGCTCCAGAACCCAAGCCAGCCCTGAAACCAAACCCGGTTATAGAGCCCAGCTCAGCTCCAAGACCAAACCCAGCTCCAGAACCCAGCTCAGCTCCCAGACCAAGCCCTGCTCCAGAACCCAGCGTAGCTCTGAGTCCAAACACAGCTTGAGAGTTAAACTCAGCTCTGAGACCAAACCCTGTTCTAGAGCTCAAGTCAGCTCTGAGACCAAATGTAGCACCCAAAACCAGCCCAGCTTGGACACTCCCTCTAGCTCTACAACTGAGCTCAGCTCCGACAGCAAGCCTAGACCTGGAACCCAGTTCAGCTCAGGGACCAAGCCCAGCTCTCCAACTGAGCTCACCTCTGAGATGAAGCCTTGTTCCAGCACACAAGTTAGCGCTGAGGCCCAGCCTGGCCCCCAAACCCAGCTCAGCTCTGAGAGTCAGCTCCCCTCAAGAACCCAGCCAAGCCCTCATGCAAAGCTGTGTTCTGGAACTCAGACAACTCCAGAGATGACCCCCAGTTCTAGAACCCAGTCCAGCTTCAACACCAAGCTCAACCATCCAACTCGACGTGACTCTGGGCTTCCAGATCCTTCCACGGCCATCCTGGACACTCAGCCAAGCCCTGCAGAAGCTCTTAGCCTTGGAATCCAGGTGAGAATGAAGAACCCGCGCAGCTCGGGCACTCCAACCAGCTCAGGAGCCAAAGAGTGTTCCCAGGTGCAACTGTATTCCAGAATCCAGATGAGCTCGGGAAGCCAGTGCCTCCCTGCCACCCAGTACCCATCTGGACTGCAGCCTGGCTTGAGAACTCTGCTGTTCCCACATTTGTCCCTCCAGGATGCATCCCAGACCAGCTCCAGTGCTGGGTCTAGCTGTGAAACAGAGCCCAGCAAGAGAACCCAGCCTTCGGCTACAACCAGCACCAGAATCCAGAGCAGCCCTGGACCCCCATCCAGCTCCAGAAGGTGGCTTGGCACCAAGTCTCACTCACCCTGCAGATCACACACGGGCATGGGAACATTGTCCACCTCTGGGACCCAGACTGACGTGGCCTGGCCACCATCTGGAGTCCCGTCCAGCTCAGCTGTCCTTCCCCACTCCAGAGCCCAGCCCAGCTCTGAAACACGGCCAGCTGAGACCCAGGCAAGTTCTAGAATGCAGCCAAGTGCTGGACCTCAGCCGAGTTCTGGGGTGCAGGCCCAGGCTGTGGTAGAACCACATTCGGAAACCCCGTTCAGTTCTGATGGTCCACCCGGAACCAGAGTCCAACGCTGCCCAGGAACCCGGCCAGCTTCCGGGGCTCAGCTTGGTGCTAAACCCCAGGCAGATTCCCAGGGCCCGCGCCAGCCCAACACCCAAGCCAGCTCTGGGACTCCACTGGGCTTGGAGAAGCAGCTTGGTTCTGAAATTCCCTTGAGTTCCAGCACCCAGCTGACGTCTGGAGCCCAGCTCAGCTCCAGAACTACAGTAGGCTCAGAGACCCAGCCCAGCGCCACCTCGGAAGCCCAGATCAACGCCACAAGCCTTGAGGAGTCCAAAATCCAGCCCCACTCCAGAACCCAGGTCAGCCCTAGAAACAGGCTCCGGTCTCCAACTCCAAACCCTGACCCAAGATCCCCGCAGGATCCTTTGGTTCCAGCCGGGCTTCAGGCCACAGCCCCAGTCTCTAGAGCCCCAACTCCCACCCCGAGCCAAGCCCCTGTGACTTGGCCTCAGTCCCGGGGACTGCAGGCTAGCTCGGGGCCAGGAGGAAGTCCTCCAGCCTCCTACCTGGCCCCCCAACCACGGGGACCACCCACCCCCGAGAAGCCAGCCCTTTGCCCCAAACCTCAGCTGGGACCCCAGAAGTCCACCCCACCTGGGCTATCTGTCCCTCGTTGCCCAGGTCCCAGGGCAGCCACCCTTCCCTCCGCGCCCCCCAGATCCCCAGCTCAGGGTGCAGGCCCCTCCCCCATGAAGGGGAGCCCCGACCCCTCCCTCATGGCAGTGGAAGAGCAGGAGGGAGAGGTCCCTTTCAGGGGGCAGGGCTCCAGAGAATAAACAACGTTGCACCCCTGCAGCCCTGTGTGTCATTTTGGGGGCAGTCGAGTCTGACAGCAGCGTGGCTATTTAGCTACACTGGAGGTTTATGAGCACTTGGCGGGGTGACACTCCATTCCTGGGCCATATAACAGACATTTATTGTGCATGTTCTGCGGACCCCAGACTCGCAGTGGGGGAGGATGGTGAAGGGGAGGTGGCAGACCCCCTCCCATGTCTCCCTTTCTCATCAGCCCCACTGGCCGAGCCCTAGAACCCCACTACTCAGAAGGCAGGCCTGGTAAGCGCCTACTAAACGCTCCAGAAAGGGGTGTGAGCAGCAGAGTGGGGGGTCTTCTTGATAAGGTACCCCAGCCCAGGGCCACCCCCCCAGCCCCAGGGGAGAGGAAGCCAGGGGCTCCCGAAGGTGCATTTTGGCACAAAACCAGGCCATTCATTGATTTCTGAGCCGGTCCCTCCCTCCCCCAGCTCCAGGCTCCAGAGGCCCAGCCTGGGGGGGGGGGGGTGCAGGGGTGCGGGGGAGATGTCGGAGAGGGATGGGGTGGGTCGGCCGGGGACCGGCCCGAGCCCGTGAGTCCAGCGGGGGGTGGGGTCACAGAGGACCCAGGGCCGCGGGGCGCGAGGCCCGCCGGGGGCGCAGGGACAGGGACCGCGGGCGCGCGCTCAGGCGCGGGTGCAGGCGGCGCAGCACGGCGCGGCGGAACAGGATGTACACCCAGGGGTCCAGGATCTGGTTCCACGTGGCCACGCGCAGGTAGATGAGCAGCTGGCGCTCGGTGGCCTGCGACAGCTGGCCCGCGGGGCTCATGGCCGGCGGCGTCCGCAGCACCGTGTGTCCGATGAAGACCTGCGGGGAGCCGCAATGGGTCAGGGTGGCGCCAGGCCCCGCCCCGAAGCCCCCGCCCCAACCACACCCACCGCAAGGCCACGCCCCACGCCCCGAGCGTGCCCCGCCCACATCCCCTCCCACCACACCCCGCCCTTTAGAGCATGCTCCGCCCCCCGACCATGTCCCACCAGAACAGACCACGCCCACACTCCCTCGCTCCGCCCCAGCCACGCCCTCCGGGTCTTGACCACGCCCCCGCCCCAGCCGCAGGGATAAGGGTCTCGGGGCCTTTCCTGCCCTGGCTGGCTTTGAACCTCGATCCTCAGATCTCAGCCTCCTGAGTAGCTAGGCGTGAGCCCGGCTTCACTTGCTTTTTGAGTTTTTCTGTGCTGGTGGATGAACTACTCAGGAGCCACACCCCCAAGCCCTACGTTCTCACTCATTAAATACTTTATACTCCATATTTGAACCCACTTCACTAAGTGTAAAATTGATACTTGCCCTTCAATAGAAGTGATTTAATAATTCAGAATATAACATGATTTTAAAAAGAATTACAGACTAATGTACTTGTTACGACTTCACAGAAACAGAGGACCAGATATCAGCGTGTAATTATAATACATAATAACGAAACGATTAGCTATGACACAATAAGGATAATTGGCAGGTGTGCTGAGGTTATAGTATAATTGAAACTGGTCAAAGCCCAAGTCCTCCCCGCAGCCCACAGGGCCCTGCACGGCTCGCCGGGCTCAGTCCTGCCCCGCTGCGTGCGCTGCCTGGGAGTTCTTTTTTGTCAATCATGGGGCCTGAACTCCTTAGATCTCAGCCTCCTGAGTAGCGAGGGTGACAGGCGTGAGCCACCTGCGCCTGGCTTAGGAGACTCTTTTGTGTTCTCTACATAAAAGAGGATCCCTCTCGACACCCCTCAGTCCTCTTCTCCCTACCCTCCCTGCAGTCCCCAGGCTCTTGAAATGCTCAGCCTGAGCTCTGCCCTGCTCTAAAACATGGAATCTGGGGTTCTGAAGGATCAACAGGAGTTCACCTGCTGGATAAGTAGGTAGACACCCAAGTTAGAATCACTGATTCAGTTCAGTGTTTTTCGTTTTTGTGGTTGCTGGAGGTGAGCCCAGCAACTGTGGTAAATGGCCTCAGCCTCCTCCGCCCTCAGGTGGTCTGGGGAAACAGTCCCAATCACCAGGAGCGAGGTCATGCATCCACAACCACACAGTGCTGCTCCAGCCGCAGGGCTCAGCCCTGGGTTACCCTTACCTGTCCTGACTCTGCCGCCTCTGTGCTGTGCCCAGGAGCGGGCAGCCCAGAGGCTCTGTGAGCCCAGAGCTCTCCTGGAGCTCAGAGTCTGCCCTGAAGCCCAGCATTTGGGGCTCACGCCTGTCACCCCATCAGCCAACCTCTTGCACAGAGATTCTGTGGTCTACCCGGCAGCCCTGGGCCCCAAGAGGCCTCAGCAAATCCACCATAAAATGTATTCCTCCCATTTCGCTCAGCAGGCAAACTCCTATTCATTCTTCAGAACCCCAGCTTCAATGCCCTCTACTCCACCTCCTCCCTTTTCCCCCCTCCAAGTCAAAAGTTCTCCCTGGATGCCCACCCTGGACTTCTGGAACCCGCAGCACACCTGCACTCACCAGCAAGGGCAGCCAGCACACGGAGGCCACCACCATGATACCCAGGAGCTGGACCATCATCTCCACCTCGCAGTCCCGGGGCCGCTGCTGGGCGGCCTCCCCGCCGTGGTAGACGCGACACAGGGTGGCCACGCTGACCGTGTTGAGCAGGAAGGACAGGGCCACCGAGAGGCCCCCGAGGCAGGCGAAGAGCAGGCCGAAGGCGGCGTCGCCCGGCCGGGCGGCCAGCGTGAGGAAGCACCAGGAGCCGGGGTACTGCACGGTGTAGCGGCCCAGGCCCAGCAAGGGGAGCAGCCCCAGGCCCAGGGCCAGCGCCCACACCAGGCCCACCGTGGCCCAGGCCCGGCGCGGCGAGGCCACCGCCGGCCTGGAGAAAGGCCGCGTGATGCCCAGGAAGCGCTCGGAGGCCATGGCCGCCCCCAGCAGCAGCGGGCACAGGCCGAAGAACACCATGGCCACGCCCATGAAGTGGCACAGGTGGCAGCTGGGGTCCCCGGCCCGCCAGTCCAGCAGGGCCGCGTGCTGAGACACCACGATGGCGCCCGTCACCAGCAGCCCCAGGAAGTCGGTGAGCACCAGGCCGCACAGGAAGGTGAGGAAGGGGGAGCGGGGGCACAGGCCGCCCTGGTGGGAGCTGGCCAGGACGCTCAGGGCCACCAGGTTCGAGGACAGCCCCACCACGCAGAAGGATGCCGGGAACCAGGGGGAGGCGATCAGACGCCTCTCCTCCAGCGTGAAGTTGAAGTTGATGGGGCGGAAACACGGGCCCAGACTGGCGTTGGACCACATGGCTGCCTCCAGCCCGGCCGCCGCTGCCACCGCCACACCAGGTGACAAGACAGGTCACCACCCCATGGGGGCTGCCAGGGCCGGCCGGGAACACCTGGAAGGCAGCAGAGAGAAGACCGGCTTGTCAGGTGTGCAACTGGCGGGAGGGGGCGAACTCCTACGCAGCCTTTAATGCCCCAGCTCCAGTGCCCCTTCTTGAGGAAGGATTTGTCTTCATCCCTCAACTGTTACTACGATTGCTAGTTGTATACTGTTGGAACTATTAGTCCCTCCACCTCGCACTAAAGGGACAAAACACCAGGGCTGCCATGCCTGGGACCCCCTAGAGAGACACCAAGAAATATTTTTGTGGGTCTTACGGAAAAATCCAAAGACCCTAGCTTTGAACTCCAGCCCGGAGTCTGTGTGACTCTAGGCAAGTGGTTTCTCTTCTCTGAGCCTCAGTTTACCCCTTACTCACCCTCCACCCCCACAGCTGACTGCCTGATCTAAATTATAGTCATTGTCAGTAACAATTGCAGTCTCCCACCCGGTCCAGGGCAGGGGAGGGGCGGAGGCGCAGGGCAGGGGAGGGGCGGAGGCGCAGGGCAGGGGAGGGGCGGAGGCGCAGGGCAGGGGAGGGGCGGAGGCGCAGGGCAGGGGAGGGGCGGAGGCGCAGGGCAGGGGAGGGGCGGAGCCGCAGGGCAGGGGAGGGGCGGAGCCGCAGGGCAGGGGAGGGGCGGAGGCGCAGGGCAGGGGAGGGGCGGAGGCGCAGGGCAGGGGAGGGGCGGAGGCGCAGGGCAGGGGAGGGGCGGAGGCGCAGGTCCCGGGCGGCTTGTGTGCTCCATTTCATAGGACACTTTTGCTGTCACTGTTGTTTTCCTTGTTTTTGGGGGAGTCTGGGGGACTTAGGGGGGTATTTCCATCCTGCCTCCCATATGCCAGAACACTTTCATACTAATAAGCAAGGATCCCTGCAGTCCCAATTCCATTTTGGGAACAAAAACGCAGCTCATTTGCAGCCACAGCTTCCCCAGGGACAGGTTAGAGCGAGCGCTCGGACTGGGTGGGGCTGTGGGAAAACGCTGGGCAGACCGAGGGGTGGGGGTGATCGCAAAGCAGAGCCAGATGTGCCCTGATCAGATCAGCATGGCTGCAGCCCGGCGCTGGGGGCTCCCGCCTGTCATCCGACCACTCAGGAGGCTGAGATCTGGACTGCGGTTCAAAGCCAGCCCAGGCAGGAAAGTCCGTGAGCCTCTTTTTTTTTTTTTTTTGTCAGTCCTGGGGCTTGAACTCTGGGCCTGGGCGCTGTCCCTCAGCTCTTCAGCTCAAGGTGAGCGCTCTACCACTTGAGCCACAGCACCACTTCCGGTTTTCTGGTAGTTCATTGGAGATAAGAGTCTCACAGACTTTTCTGCCCAGGCTGGCTTTGAAGCACGATCCTCAGATCTCAGCCTCCTGAGTAGCTAGGATGACAGGCGTGAGCCACCAGCACCGATAAGACTCTTACTTCCAATAAACCACCAGAAATCTGGAAGTGGTGCTGTGGCTCAAGTGGTAGAGCACTAGCCTAGAGTGAAAGAGCTCAGGGACAGCGCCCGGGCCCATAGTTCCAGTCTTAGCCCTGGGTTCGATTCCTCAGTACCACATACATCGAAAAAGCTGGAAGTGGCGCTGTAGCTCAAGTAGTAGAGTGCTAGGCTTGAGCAAAAGAAACTCAGGGACAGCACCCAGGCCCTGAGTTCAAGCCCCAAGACTGTCACAAAAAAGAAAAGAAAAGAAAAAGATTACAGGCATGAACCACCATGCAAGGCTATGAGTTGAGATGGGGTGGAGGGGAGGGTCTCACTAATTTTTTGCTTAGACTGACCTAGAACGGTGATCCTCCTGACTTCGGCATCCCAGCGGCGGGGATTATAGGTGTGTGCCACCACCTCCAGCCAACTTACTTCCATTTGTAAAAAAAAATTAATTGGCTTTCTTGTTGTTATAGAGGTGATGTATAGAGGGATTACAACAACCTGAGTCAGGAAATGAGCACATTTCCTCTCGTACCTGTTTTCCGTTTCCTCCTGCTCTCCCAGAGCCTCCCTCCCGGCTCCACCCACGAGTTGTCTAATTCATTTTCATCCGTGTCCAGTGAGTTCCACCACTGCACGTTTTCCCCTTTTCCCGAGTCCTGCCCTCCCTCAAACCCTTCCGAAGATAGACACTGAATACACGAGGAAAAGTACACACACGCGTCTATCTCTAGGGGTGTGTGTGTCTTGTTTCCATATTTGGAGTGGGTTTTTCAGTATGCACATCATTCTAGATAAGGCGGAAGCGTTGTGTAGCTATGGTGCCCTTTTGTTTCTCTCCTTAGACTAGCCTCTTGTTCTCGCTGTGTGGGTGTCTCTAGAATCCTGTATCATTGCTCAGCCCCTGGTGCGTTTTAGATCGAACTTGTGCCAATCAGAGGGAACAGGTGCCGTTTGCCTCTGTGAGTGAGGCTCACCTCACTCACTCAGCCTGATTTTTTCTGGGTCCGTCCATTTCCTCGCAGATGGCATTACGTGATGGTTTCTAATGGCGGTGTAGCAGTGGTGCGTATATTGGCGTGTGCGTCCTAGGTCTGGGATCCACGTGTCTCTTGTGGGGGCCTCGGGGCTGCGTCCCTCTCCTGGCTGTTGTGAGTCGTGGTGGTCAGACCGGATTCTGAGTGGCCCCCTCTTGCTGGCCTTGGACTTGTCCTGGTTCACAGCCTCAGTTTCCCTTCTTGTACAGAGCGTCTAGCCCACAGGCCCTGAGCCAGGGCGGCCTTTTGGAGCAGATGGGAAGTGGGGGGGAGTGGCTGCGGGCCTTGCTTTCCATCTGGGTAATTGGTGCCTTGGCTGGGCTCCTCACTATTGAGCCTTATAAATTATCCAGCCCCAGACAGAGGCCCTGAGCCTGCCCTCCTTTCCGCACCCCCCCAGACCAGCCTGGAGCCAAGGCGTCTGTCTCTGTGGGGCGCGATGGGGAGAAGGATGGACAGCCAGATAGCAAGAAGGCCAGGTGGAGCCAGTGCTAGGACACTCGCAAGGCCATAGATCTTCATCAGCGGAGGACTTACTGGAGTCCAGCCTTGGCTCCCCCTGGGGACAGGGTTCTCCCTCCCTCCTCTGCCCTCCCCCCTCCCCCCAGCTGGTATGCACGGTTTCAGAAATTCCCCTGAAAAAGTGGGCCTGTGCCTGTGCCTACAGCCACAGCCCATCCCATGTGGGTCTCACAGGTCTGGCCTGGGGACACACACCCAGGATTCTTGCACACACACACACACACACACACACACACACCCTCACCCTCACCCTGTGTCTCAGGACAAAGCCATGACCCAGAGGTCCTCTTGGCCAGGGGGAGGCTGGAAACTGGCTCTCCTCTTTGGCCACAGCTGGCAGTTTCCAGTCTCCCCCTCCCTTGCCCCCCCCCCCCCCCCTGCCCAGCTTGGGTTCAGGTGATAGGAGCCGTTTCAAGTTCCCTAGGCTAGCAGGCCAGCGCCAGGGCGTGGGGTGGGCAGGGCCTCTGCCACAGGCTGTGTGGCCCGTGGAAGAATTGCTGTTCCTCTCTGTGCCCCACCCCCCACGGGAGGTGTGTGTGGCCTGTGGCTTTCTGGGTTCAGGCTGGAAAAACTTTTGGTTTCGGGGCTAGGCCTGGGGCTTGAACTCAGGGGGCTTGGGTGCTGTGCTGAGCTTTTTTTCTTTTCTTCTCAAGGCTGGTGCTCTACCACTTGAGCCACAGCTCCACTACCGGCTTTTTGCTGGGGGTTAACTGCTGGGAAGCATCTCACAGAGGTGTCTGCCCAGGCTGTTTGAACGGCCACCCCTGGCCCTGCGCTCCTAGGGAGCCTGGAAATCCGGGAATTCCAGGGGTAAGCCTCTGCCGGTTCTGAGGTCACCCCCCCCCTCTGTCTCAGCCCCTGGCTTCCTCCTGGGGTCCAGGCCCGGGGCTGTCTCAGGAGGCTGCCCAGAGGTGGGGCGCACTGTGAGGGGAGTGGGGGGCCTTGGGCCAGTCTCATGTCCACCTGCCCCCTGCCCCTCCCTGGCCCTCCCTCCTGCCCTGCCTCCCCTCTGTCTGCGGTCTGGCAGCCCGGCCCCCCCTGCCCGCACCCCCGGGGCCACGCTGGCCCCCCAGCGCCCGGGCCGTGTCCCCGGCCTGGGGTCCCCCCCCACGTGGCGGAGGCTGCCAGTGGAGGCCGCCAGGTCGCGGCGCCGCAGACGCGCTCCCCTCGGGGGTGCGGCCCCCACCCCCGTGTCAAACCCCATTTCCGGGAGCTCTTTCCGTTTGCACACCGCGAGCCCTCCCCACCCCCGGCCCCAGCGAGGCCCGCGCGCGCAGGTGGGCGCCCCATAGCCTCCCCCAGTCCCGCCGAGCCTCAGTTTCCTCTTCTGCCCGGGGCTCAGCCCCGGGGGTCGGGGGGGGGGGCAGGGCGCGGGACCGACCCGGGGCGGGGCGGGCGGGGCCCAGGGCCGGGCTGGCGGGCGGGCTCGGGGGACACTGAGTCACGGCACTGGTCCCAGTCATCAGACCGTCCCTCCCGCCCCCGTACCCCGGCCGGACACGCGGACCCCGGCCGACCCCCAGGGCGGCCCCGCCCCGCCCCGCCCCGGGCCTCACCTGTGTCCCGGATGCCGCGCGGAGATGGAGATGAGGCTCGGGAGAGACCGGCCCGGATTCCGTGGACCCCGCGGGAAACTGAGTCACGGCGGGGCGGGCCCGACGGAGGCAGAGCGCGGGACCGGGCCGCGGGACCGGGCCCCCACCGAGCGCCTGGACCGCCCGCCCGCCCGCCGGCCGCGGTCTCTCCGGGGCAGGGTCTCCCCGCCCGCGCGCTGCCGGCCCCGCCCCGCCGCGGCCCCGCCCACAGGCAGCCCCGCCCACAGGCAGCCCCGCCCCCGGGCAGCCCCGCCCCACGCGCATAGCCCCGCCCCCGCCGGCCCCGGGGCTCGCCCCTGGCTCCCGGGTGCGTGGAGGGCCCGAGGAGGGAGGAGGGTCGCCCCGTGGGACCCTGGCCGGCTGCCCCGCGGTATTCGCCCTCTGCACGGCGGGGCGCCCTGGGCAGGGGCGGGGCGCCCTGGGCCAGGCCCCGGGAGGGGAGGATGGACGGGCTTTGACACTGCAGCTGTGATCCACACGGGACAGCTGGGGCAAACGAACTCGTACCACCCTCAGATCCCCTCAGGGCCCAACAGTAAAGACAGGGGGTGTCCAGGCCGGCTGGTGAAGGTGTGGGGGCTGGGCTACACTCCACAGGACGGGGGAGAGCCTGGCCCAGGGGCCTGGGTCACCCTGAGAGGCTGCAGGGCGCCTGCCCACCCAAGCAGGAAGGTCTTTGGCCCAAGCAGGGGCCTAGAGTTGGGCCAGGATTGCTGGCCTGGCCTTGAACCCACCCCACCCAGTTCCCACCCCTCTCCAGGCTCTGAATGACAGCCCCATCAGCAGGGCCAGGAAGCCCCTTCTCCATGGCCACCTTCCCCTCCAGGCCTCAGTCCAGCCCTATGTCCCTCCACATCCCCTTATCAGAGGCCCCTGAACCCTTAACCCTAACATCCCTCTTCCTCAGGAAGGCACTGCCCAACTCCTATTCATCCTGCAGAGCCCAGCCTCCAAGTCCTCCTCCTCTACAAAGCCTTCTCCATCTTTTAGTCTTTCTCCACTCTGTCCTTTTTAGGACCCTCCCCGCCCCCCTCCCCCCCATCCTGGGGCTTGAACTCAGGGCCTGGGCAGTCCCTGAGCTTCTCTGACTCAAGGCTAGCACTCTACCACTTGAGACACAGTGCCACTTCTGGCTTTTTCTGTGTATGTGGTATAGGGCTTCGTGCATAGTAGGCAAGCACTCTACCACTAAGCCACACATTCCCAGGCCTAAGGAAACAATTCTGAGACTCAAGTGGGCCTGCCCTTGAGGTCTCTCCTACCTGGAGAAGGAGGTGACCATTATGTCAGCCCTTTGGGATCAGTACTGAAGCAAAGGAAGTGTCTGCTCCTGGGATCTTAGAGGTTGGGTGTGGAAAATGGGTCTTTGTAGGATGGGTAGGAGTTCTCAGGGTCTGAGCTACTTGGTGTCAGCAGGACTTTCTCATGAGGTCTTGAGTATCATTACAACTAGGGCAGGAGTGGTGGGAAGAGGATGTGGGGCGGGGCCGGAGGCGAGGGCAGGCAGCGGTAAGGTGGCTGGAGGTCACTGCACTGACTTCCTCTGTACCCAGCCCCAGACAAACCTCTTTTCTGGGAAAGAACTTGGAGCACAATTGATTTCCACGTTGCCTTCCTCTCACCACGTCCTGACAGCCAGGCCAGGTGTGGCGTGGGGGCTCTCATCCCCGTCCCCCCGCACCCCCACTGGTGGTCAACCTGGGAGTGGATGGTGGAAACGAAGGCCAGGCTCAGGATGCGCCCCCCGTGGCTGCGGCTTCCGCCGGGCCAGGCAGGGAGCGGCTATTCTTAGCCTTGGACAGCGGAGGAAGGAAGAGGCTGGGACTGGGGCAGCATCCAGGACACCGGGGGGCTGGGGGGGCTGTGGACAGGCAGCCCAGCCCCCACCTGCTGGCGGGGTCCCCCGCATCCCGGGCACCCGAGGCCCTGCGGCCCTCGCCTCCACCGCGTCCGCTGCTGTCCTGTCTTGGATGCGCCTGCCGTGCCCCCACCCCAGCGTGCGCTGCGCCTCTCCTTCAGGGAGCCTGGGCCTCTCAGGCCTCTGAATGCGGGGCCTTGCCTCCTTGAGATCAGGACCCCGAACCCCAATCCTGCCGGGACAGCAGACAGAACAGCGGACACCTCTTCTGGGACAGGTGGGGAAACTGAGGCCCAAACATTGGTGTGGCTTTTTTTCGGGTACGATCCAACACGGAGCGAGGCTCAAGTGCCTGCCGCCGTGGCCGACTCAGGTCAGCCGCCCCACGCTCCGGACCTCGGACTGGTCGGGGTCGGCGGAGAGGCTGGCTGGAGGATGCAAGGCTCAGCCAGCCTGCGAGTGAATAGTGATGCCGGCCAGGGTTCAACGGGGGCAGAGGCGTGAGGCTGGGATGGAGCCCTGACGAGACAGGCGCTGCCGGCCTGGGCTCCCAGGGCGCATGCGCAGGGCGGGACTGGGGCCTGGGCTCCCAGAGCGCACGCGCAGGGCAGGAGTTGGCGGGCCTAGGCTCACAGGGCGCGTGCGCAGGGCAGGAGTGGGCGGGCCTAGGCTCACAGGGCGCGTGCGCCGCAGGGCGGGGCCGGGGGTCTGGGCTTGGGGGGTCTGGGCTTGGGGGCCCCTGGGCGCACCAGGCCCGGGTGGGCGCAGGCTGCTCTGGCCGGTGCTTGGTGAACAGGGGAGTCGGGAGGGAAACTTACTAGAAACAGGAGCCACTGAGCTGTGAAAATACAAGATTTTTCTCCACCAAAAAAAGTCTCTCTAGACAAACAGTCTGCGGACGCAGGCCGCAGGGGTGCGGCGGGGCTGAGGTGGTGGTTGGGGCCCCGGGGAAAGGAAGACCCTGTGAGCGGGCGAGGGCCCAGGTGACCTCCACGCTCGGGGAGGGTGACCCCCACCCCAAGGCCCCGGGGGAGGGTGACCGCCGGCCCAGCGGGGGAGCCCCCGTGGCGGGGCTGGGCGCCCGTGGCGGCCCAGAGCAAGCCTCCGAGGCCCGGGTCGGCCCAGGGGCGGTGCCCGGCCCGGATCCTGCTGGGGAGCCCCGGGGTCTGCTCAGGGGCCCTGCAGGGGACACCGAGGCGGGCGCACGGGGGTCACCGGCGGTAGCGGTAGCGCTTGAAGTGGAACCAGAGCTGGAAGATGCCGTTGGCGAACTGGCAGCGGAAGCCGTGGCGGTGCGAGTACTCCCACTCGCGGTTGACGATCTTGAAGGCGATGTCCTCGTAGGGCGGGCCGGCGTGGAAGCGCAGGATGGCGAAGTCCTTGTTGTCGGCGCAGGCCTCCAGGAAGTACTCGGGCGTGGAGCGCTTGTCGATGAGGTCGGGGTAGAAGATGTTGAACTTGTAGCCCTGCACGATCTTGGGCGGCGGGTTGTCGAAGTCGTAGTGCGTCTGGTTGTACTTGTTCCACTCGAAGCCCGTGTGCACGCGGTTGAAGAAGCGCGGCTTGCGCGGCCGGTACTTGTCGGCCCACAGGTAGGCCTTGCCGGTGAGCGGCATCTCCACGCTGAACTGCGCCTCGTCCTGCCCCATGCCCTCCTTGGCCCGCCGGAAGAAGATGTCCTCGGCGCTCTCGCTGGCGTCCCCTGCGGGCGGAGGCCGGGCGGGGCGGCGTGAGGCCGGGCCTCGTCCCTCCGGCCTCCCTCCCCGGCCTCCCTCCCCACGGCCTCCCCGGCCGCCGCACCTGTGACCTGGAGCTGCTGGCGGGACAGCTGCAGGCGCTGCAGGTCCTCGTCGGGCTCCAGCACGTGCGCGTCCAGCGGCAGCTCGTGCGCGGTGAGCAGGCGCGGGCTGTAGCGGCCCGCGTCGTAGTCGTCCAGGCTCTGCTGGATCAGGTCCTCCTCCATGAGCACCGCCTCGCCCTCGCCCTCCTCGCCCTCCGCCTCGCCCTCGCCCGCCGCTGCCCCGTCCTCCGGGGGCTCGGCGGGGCCCTCGGCCGAGGGTCCGGGCGGCGAGGGGGCGGCCGGGTCCTCAGGCTCCGGGCTGCGGGAGAGCCGGGGTGAGCGGGCTGGGCCGGGGGGTCCGCGCCCGGGCCCGCCGGCCTCCCTCCGCGTACCTGCGGCCCGGGGACGCGGGCTCCTGCTTGAGGATGGGGAAGAGCGGCTCGCTCTCCACGCCCTGCTCCTGCTTCAGCTTGTACAGCTTCTGCCGCAGCACGTCCTGGTGGCGCTCGCGCAGCCTGCGGGGGGGGGGGGGGCGCACAGGGCTCGGCTCGGGGCGGCCCGCACCCCACCCCCAGGCTGTGGGGCCTCAGGGCCCTGTGCTGGGGGAGGGGCCGCTGGCCCAACCCTGGGCACTTTGGGGGGAGGGCCCTGACCCAAAGAGCCTGGGGCCTGCCAGAGGGGCGGGGCGGCTCCCAGCAGGATGAGAACCCGACAGGACTTAAGAGGCTTGTAGGAAAGGACAGTGGCCGGCCAGCTGGGCTCAGCACTGTTTACTGGCCGCTGCCAAGCACGCGGGGAATCTGTACACAGCCGGGGAATCTGTACACAGCCGGCCGTGCGGCGAGGGAGCCTGGGCGCCTGGAGGAAGGGGCCCAGGGGCGGAGCCGGGCGTCGGTGGGCGGGGCCTGGCAAGGGCTGTGGGCGGGGCCTGGGAACCAGAGGTGAGGTCGGGCAGGGCCCGGGGCGGGGCCTGGAGCCCTGTGGGCGGGGCCCGGGGAACTCGGGGGCAAGGCTCACCTGGCACGGGCCATGTGCGCGCGCAGCTGCTGCAGCAGGCTCTCCCAGTAGCCCATGTCCAGGTTGGGGCCGCCCGCGCGGATCTTGCCCTCGATGCCCTGGAAGATGACCTGCAGCTGGTTGTAGGTCTTGCCCTTGAACACCGACTGCACGTCCGAGCTGACGGAGGCGTTCACGCCCTCGCGGTGCTCGCCTGCATGGAGAGGGGCGGCTCAGCACGGGGCTCCCGGGCTCCCCTCGCCTCCCCTCACACTATCCCCACCGCGGTCTCTACGCTAGAGACAACACAGACCCCGGCCAAAAGCCAAGTCAAATGCTGAGGCCCGGAGCCTGGAAGGCGGGCTTGGCTTTGGCTTCTCTCTAGAAGCGGGTGACACTGCAGGGCTGTCGGGGGCTCACTGGGACTCCCTTCCGGGTAGGGGCTGTGTTAGAAAGGATACCAGGGGCCGGTGTTCCCCTGGTTAGGCAGGGGAGCCTGGGCGGCCTCAAATGCCCACCACAGCCCTGCTGGAACACTCCTTTCTACTCTGGTGAAGTTAGATACAGTGGGTCACCAGTCCCTGGAGGCTGGAGGCCAGGGGTGTGGGTGAACCCCAGGGCAGCAGTGGCTCACTGCTGACCTCTAGTGGCCGGCCCTTCTCTGTACACCACAGACAGGAAAACAGGAATACCTGGCAGGGCGGCTCCTGTCAGACCCCAGAGCACAGCGCGCTGGCTCTGATGGCCTAGCAGGTGGATGGGAGGGGACAGGGACACGTGTTACCTGGCCCCTTGCCCGAGGCCTCCAGCTTGCGGAGCTTGGAGATCTCATCCTCAGTGATGATGGTCATGTCACGCCAGAAGTCCACATTCTTGCCCTGCTCCAGCTCCATGTATACCTGGGTGGGTGGGGCGCAGGGCAGGTGAGGTGGGTGGAAGGGGGGGCTGCAGGGTCCTGGGGAGGGGCAGGGCTGGCAGGTACCTGTATGTCCTCCAGCAGGTCCTCCATGTCAGCCACCGTGAGGCCGTTGAGGAAGGTGTACGGCTCGTGCATCTCCACAGCCAGGTCATCATCCTCGGCACTGATGTACTTGGCCAAGAGGTCGATGGGCTTGGCCCGCCCGTCCCGGATGCGGATCTTGGAGCTGCCAGGCACAACGGTGGCAATGTCAGGGGGGGGTGTGCCCTGCTCTTTTGGGGCAACGCACTGTGGGAGCAGGGCAGGGCAGCCATGGGTAGTGAGGAGAGCTTTTGGAGGAGCATGGACCAGAGTGTGGGGGCAGGGGAGGGCTGTTGTCTGTACTGTGGCAGGGGCTTTTTGGGGTGCTCCACTCGGTGCCCAGGGGGACACGTGCAACCTGACCCTGGCCCTCGCCCACACAGGTGGAAGGAGAAGCCTCAGAAGTGAGGAGGGAGGGAGGAGGGACAGAGCATCTGAGCAGCAGGAGGTGGGGTGCAGCGCATGGTGCTGGCGGGGTGCGGGGGCGGGCATGGGTGTGGTGGGAGGGCAGGGGTGAGGGTGGGCATGGGTGTGGTGGGAGGCGGGGTGAGGGGCGGGCATGGGTGTGGTGGGAGGGCAGGGGTGAGGGCGGGCATGGGTGTGGTGGGAGGGAGGCGGGGTGAGGGGCAGGCATGGGTGTGGTGGGAGGGCAGGGGTGAGGGTGGGCATGGGTGTGGTGGGAGGCGGGGTGAGGGGCGGGCATGGGTGTGGTGGGAGGGCAGGGGTGAGGGCGGGCATGGGTGTGGTGGGAGGGAGGTGGGGTGAGGGGCGGGCATGGGTGTGGTAGGAGGGAGGCGGGGTGGCGGGGACGGCGAGGGCGCACCGCAGCTTGGCCTGCTGCAGGTGGAAGTGGTCCTCCTGCTCCTCCCAGGTCTTGAAGTGCTCTGCCTCCTTCTCCCGCTGCAGCATCTCCAGCTCCTGCTCCCGCATGGCCTTCTCCCTCTCCCGCTCCAGCCGCAGCTGCTTCACCTGGGAGGCACTGGTGTGAGGAGCTGCCCTCTCCGGCCCTGGCTCACCTGCCCTGGGCACAGGAGTGCTGACGTGGGGGACAGACACTCTCTTCCTGTGGGAGGCCCAGCAGTCGGCCAGACTACTAGTGGCCAGGGCAGCATGGCCAGGGGGCGAGGGGGGAGCGGGGGCCTCACCTTTTGCAGCTCCAGCCGGTTGTCCTCTTGGATCCTTTTGTTGCGCTCCTTCAGCTCCTTCTCTTCCAGGTGGCTGATCCCTTTCTTCTCCAGGGCCTGACAGACAATCTAACCTGAGCACATACGCTGCCTGCGCCTCCCAGCACTGCCACCCAGGGAGCCTCTAGCCCAGGCACAGAGAAGATGTCCCCTCCTCCCGGGACACAGCACACAGGGGCAGCCCCAGCGGGAGCGGGCCTGCGAACAGCAAGCGTGGTGCTCCTCAGACTCATTTCACAGGAGTCTGGCTAAGTCGGCAGCGTGAAGCAACCTCAGCCTGAGTCGCTGGCTGTGCTGTGCGAGGGACCCAGGAGACTCAGAATACAGTGTCATCTGGGATCACCAACATGGGCAATCTCCCACACTCGGTCCTGAGGGGCACTGTGAGACTCTGTGTCACCTCATCTGGTGTCGGGCGTGAGGGTGCAGGTACTGCACAGGATGTACCCTGGCCACCCCAGACCCTCATGTCACCCACCAGTGACTCCCCGCCCCCCCCAGTTCCCTCAGGGACAGTTGAGGCCGGCCTCGCTCAGCAGCATACCAGCACACACACAGGCGCTCAAGGTGTGTCTGGGGAATCCAGGGCTGACAAGCCTGGCCTGGAGAAAGACGTGGCAGGGACCCAGAGGTGAGGGGGGGATCGGCAGTGTTTCAAGGACACAAAAGAACAGCCAGGTGCCAGGGTCCTGGGGTGGGATAAGCTCTGGTGATCCCGGGGTCCTCCTAGCTCTGGAGAAGCCTTGCACCCCCTCCACTCTTCCACTGCGGGGCGCTGCAGTGGACCAAGCTACAAACATGCATGTCCTCACCCAAGGCTGTGAGGAGGGGGTTAAGGGTGAGAGAGGGGTGGGGTGGGCGGGGCCTCGGACCCCAGGCGGAGCCTTCGGAAGAGATGGACACTGGGACTAGAGCAGGACGTGTGAAGACAGGCTCAGAAGGGGGTGGGGCAGCCCTACGACAAGGACGCTAAGGGTCTCCTGGCCCAGGAGGGAGGGGACAGGCTTTCCCCGCGCGTGGGGGAGAGAACGTGGCCTGGGCCCGGCCTGCAGGGGTGTGCCCTGTGTGGTGCACAGGAGACAGGGACTCTAGATGCTCCACAGTCAACTTGGGGGGCTGGGCTGGCTCACACAGACGCACCCAAGCTGGGGAGGGGTGCGCGCATGCGCAGCAGCGCTGGCCCCCGGGCGGGCTCACCTTGTTCCAGATGAAGGTGCCCAGCAGGTTGTTGTCGCCGAAGGGGTTGTCGGTGTTGGTGTAGCCCATGTACTCCTCGCCCCAGCCCATCTTCTCGCGCTTCTTGCGCTCCTTGGCCTCCTTCTTGGCCAGGCGGCGCGCGCGCTTCTCCTCGGGCGTCTCGAAGGCCTTGAGCAGCTCCTCCTGCTGCCGCCGCTCCTCGCGCCGCCGCAGCCGCTCCTGCAGCCGCTGCTGCCGGCTCAGCGCCGCCGCCGCGCCGGGGCTCTGCCCGCCGCCCGCGGACGCCGCGCTGGACGCCGCCGAGCCCGGGGACCACGAGCGCCCGCGCCCGGCCCAGCCCCGCGCCGGCTCCTCCTCGGAGCCGGACGGCGAGGAGCGGTCCCGAGAGCGCCATCGGGGCGGCGCGGGGCTCCGGCTTCGCCTCCGGGACCGCCGAGCTCGCCGCCGCTCTTCCTCCGAATCCGACCTGCAGCCGGGGAGAGCGCGGCCCGGCCCGTCAGCGCGGCCGCCCCCCAGCCACGCCCAGGCGGGGACCCCACGGCCCCGCCCGCCGGCCTCGGTCCTCGTGGAAACCCGCACGCACGGACACGCGTAGTCACATCCAGTCACGGGGACCAGCGCGCAGACGGGCTGGCGGGGGGGGGGGGGGGGGGGCGGCCGCCCAGGAGCTGGGGCGCCTGGCAGGAAGAGCATTCCAAGCTGAAGCAAAGGCCCTGGGGCAGCTCCAAAGGAGATCGCCAGGACTGGGAAGGTGGCTTAGCGGAAGAGGCTTTCCTAGCATGCATGAAGCCCTGGGTTCCTTCGATTCCTTAGCACCACATACACAGAAAAAGCCAGAAGTGGCGCTTGTGGCTCAAGTGGTATAGCGCTAGCCTTAAGCAAAAGAAGCTCAGGGACAGCGCCCAGACCCCGAGTTCAAGCCCCAGGCAAACGAAACAAACAAAAAACAAAAACAAAAGAAGATCGCCAGCTAACAATATGGGCAGAGAACCCGACCTTGTCCAAGAAAGCATAGAACACGGGTGGAAGCAGTGTTTTAAGTCCTAGAAGCTGGACACCAGTGGCTCATGCCTGTCATCCTAGCTGCTCAGGAGGCTGAGATCTGAGGATCACGGCTCCAAGCCAGCCTGGGCAGGAAAGTCTGAAACTCTTAACTCCAGTGAACCACCAGAAAACCAGAAGTGGCACTGTGGCTCATAATGGTACAGGACTACCCTTGTGTAGAAGAACTCATGGACTGAGCCCAGGCCCTTAGTTCAAGCCCCATGACTGACAAAAACAAACACAACAGCAACAACAACAACAAAAAACGTGGTCCTAGGGGATGAGCAAGCTAGAACAAATGAGGAAGGCATTTTGACATTCAGCTCAGGTAGAGACCTAACTACGTAAGTGGGTGCCTATAATTCCAACTACTCAGAAAGCTGAGATTTGAGGACTGAGGTTAGAAGCCAGCTTGGCAAGAAAGTCTGTTACCTCCAATTAGCCAGCAAAATGCTAGAGGTGGCGCTGTGGCTCAAGTGGTAGAGCACCAGCCTTATTTGAAAAAACTAAAAAACAGCATTTAGGTCATGAGTTCATGTCCCAGTTCAGATCCCTTCAATATTGGCTGCAAAGTTAATCCAATTTTCATAAGCAACACCAACTGTAATTGTGTACTGAATGTGGCTTCTCAGTGTATTTACATGGTTCAAGTATTAGGTTACAATACAGTGAACCCCAGCCTCTCCATGCCACAACCACCCCTCCCCAAACAAAATAAAACCAACTCCCCCACCAAAAAAAAAAAAAAAAAAAGTAGTTCACGTGTAGAAGCTGCCAGGCGCTGTGGCTGAAGCCTGTAATTCTAGTTACTGGGTAGGTAGTTTGAGATCTCGGTTGGAGGCCACTCTGGAAATCAAAGTTCCTAAGACCCCATCCGTCTCAACCAATAGGCACTGTGGTCGGAGTCTGTCATCCGCAGCGACATCGCCGGGAAGGAGGATCGAAGCTCGGGATGGTTTTGGCATAAGGGGGAGACAATCTCAAGACGTGGGAAAGTTTGGGACAGGGCGCGGGGGCGTGGCTCTAGCGTGGGGGCGTGGCTCTTGCGCGGGGGCGTGGCTCTAGCGCGGGGGCGTGGCTCGAGCAGTAGAGAACCTGATTGGTCCGTATCAAGCCCTGAGTTCAAACCCCAGGAGGAGGGAGAGGGAACGGGGGTTGGAGGCATAGCTAGTCAATAAGCGTCAGGTACCCAGTTCAAGCCCCGGTCTCGGAGACCAGAAACAGAAAAAAGCGGAAGGTAGCCTGTAGCTGACGCGAGCCTCAGTGGTGTTGCCATCAGTCACCGCCTCTTTTTCCATCCCCGGGTCCCGCCACCATTAGCAGAGATACCTCCACAATCCCTCTCCAGCCAGCCCACTTTCTCACGAACGCCATTCGTCCCAAAGAAACCCGAACTGGAGCTGTGACTCCAGGGGTAGAGCGCTAGCCTTGAGAAAAGTAAAACGCTCTGGGGCAGCGCCCAGGCGCTGAGTTCAAGCCCCAGTACCCACAGCACGCACACGCACACGCACACGGCAAGCCACGCCACCTCACGGCCCTGCTCAGACCTCTCCCACGCTCCCACTTCACTCCGGACGACGAGCAGCCGGCTCCCCGCGCAGCGGCTCCCCGCAGCCGCTCCGCCTCACCTCCCGCGCTCCTGGCCCCTTCGGTCCCGCCAACCCCCAGGCGCCCGGCCCGGAACGCCCGGCCCTCTGCGGTCCCCGCCAGGCTCATTCCGACCCGCGCCGCGACATCTCTCCCTCCAGGAAGCCCTCCCGGACCGCGTCGCCTGAGCGTGGGTGTCTCCAGGGAGCCCCGCCGCCACCCCACCTGCGATCCCGGCTCCGCCGCTTCCGCCGGCGCCGCCCCTCGTCCTCCCGGCGCCGCCGGCTGCGCCGACCATGGCTCCCGCTGCGACTCCGACTCCGGCTGCGACTCGCACTCTGACTCCGCTGCCTCCGGCCCCGGCGACCCGCCGACCGCGAGCGCGAGCGTGTGTCACCACCCATCAGAAGCGACGGCGGCGGCGCGGACGCCGACAGCCGGGGGCCCGGGATTGAGGGGCCTTCCACGGCCGCGGCGCCTCTGGGGCTGCCCCAGTGGCGCCGGATCCAGAGAATGAGCCCCTCCCGCCTCCCCGAGCGCCGGAAGGCGACGACCTAGAATCTCCTCTACTTCTGCGTGCGTGACTTGCGTGGTAAGAGTCAGACTGGACTTTGGTAAGCGGGAATGGTTGGCATCTTTCTTCAGGCAGTGAAAAAGGAACCTCCATTCGGGTCTTCATAACCTTGAATAGGGCGGGGCTTGATAACGCGGAACCCAGAGGAGGCGGGTCCGAGGTTGGACAAGACGTTGGAGGAGGAACCGAAAGAAGGCGTGGTCTAAGGGGGCGCGACAGGAGGTGTGCCCTGTGACGAGTGGGCGTGGCCAAGAGCAGTGCCTGCGGAGGCGTGCAGGGGGCGTGGCCATGGGGGGGATACAGAGAGGTGGGCGGGGTCTCGCATCAAAAAGAGGCGTTTGAAAAGGCCTTAGAACTGGTCGCCGGTGGCTCACGCCTGGCATCCTAGCTGCTCAGGAGGCTGAGATCTGAGGATGGAGGTTTGTTACCAGCCGGGGCAGGAAAGGCCACAAGACTCTTACCTCCAACTAACCGTAATAAAAAGAAGCCAGAAGTAGAGCTGTGGCTAAAGTGGTAGACATTAACCTTGAGCACAAAACAAGCTCTAGGACCAGCAAAAAAAAAAACGAAGACACATTACAACTTCGAAACACTAAATACTGGATCCTACTGGCCCCGGGCTGTGACAATGCCCCAGGACTGTGAGACCCCAGGAAGGAAGCATGCACTTCGGGAAGGTTTGCTCCTTGGAGTCTGACTGTGCCACATCACGGGCTTTGAGATGTTTTCTGAGCTGAACCAGATCCCCTGGAGGCCACAGCTCTTCTAAATGTGCTTGGGCCTTTTTCATAGCAGTACTGGAGTTTGAACTCAGGACTTGACAGGTTCTAGGCAGGTGCTCTACTACATAAGCCATATTCCTAGTAGCTCCCACTCCCACTTTCTTTTCAGCTAAGGTCTATATTGATCCTTCCACCTCTGCCTCCTTAGTTGCTGGGATTACAGACAGGCACCACTCTGTCCAACCTACTTGTTTCAATTCTATGGTGTCTAGTTTTTTGAGATGGGTGTTTTACTGTGTTGTCCAGCCTGTCCCTAGCTTCCTGGGCTCAAGTGATCCTCCTGCTTTGGCCTCCCTAAGTGCCCACCTGGGACTCAGCCCATCCTCCAACCTCAGACCCCAGGAACTCTCCCTTCGTCCCCGCAAGAGGCAAGCAGACAAACTGATGTTTATACCCGATTTATTAGAGATCTCTTCAACGTAAAAAGGATTGTGGCATGGGTGGGTGGGCTGCATACATGTGTCTTCTGGAGCCAGCAGTAGCTGAACTATTGGACGTGCCCATGGTTCTGGGTTGGGGGTCACGGCTTCTTTGTGGGAGCCAGGGGCAGCCGTGCTCTGGATTGTCACACACCAGACCACAGGGGCTGAGGACCAGGGGGACCCCCCCCCTCCCCAGTGAGAGTTAAGACACACGAGGTTTGCAGTTTTAAGAATTGGTTCGGCCATTAAAAACGAGATTGGGAGATGCAAATTTTAACCACCAGAGAAAAAAAGGTCGGTGGACATATGTCCTGGGGTGGGGGGACCAAGGGGCGGTGGAGACAGTACCATGGCTAGGGGTCCCCAGGGGGACGGAATAAGTATTGCACTGAATCAGGTGTGGGGTGGATAGGGACAGAGGCCAGAGAGGACACCTGGAGATTCCACCTTGTCAATCAGAGAAAAGGAAACTTCTCTCTGATCTTACAGTACAGGATTTCGGACACTGTCCCTGACTGGAGTGGTAGCAGCCATCGGAGAAGGATGGGGATGGGTGGGTGGAAGTGGCCATGAGGGTATTTACAGATTTCCTAGGTGGAGGAAGAACAGTCCAGAACCTTCCTCCTGGGGGCTAAAGAAGGGTGAGGAGTGCCAAATGTTATAAATAGGTCTTGCCTTTCCACTCCGTGTCTCCCAAATAACAATGTGGTCCCTTGACACAAAAGGATCAAAAACCGTGGCCACGAAAACATAGGTCTCCGAAGGAGTCTCCAGGACTTGACACAAAAAATGTCAGGACATCCACAGTGGGAACCATCCTTGCTTCGTGACCCCCACGGCACAGGATTCACTGATGACCAACTGGATGTGGGGACCCTGGCCCCCAGGGGTCCAGGAGTGGCCATGACACAGCCAGCCTTGATTGTCACTCAGGTCTTAGACAGCCCCTTTAGATCTCTGTCGCAGCGTTCCCCACCCCCACCTCCTTTGGTAGAAGGGCAGATGGACAAGAGACCAATCATGGCTGACCAGGTGCCTGTCTGGGAATCAGGGTCAAGGCCACTTCCTAGGTTGCGACAAACCCTCCCTGGGCAGGGAAGGGAGGACCCTGCTGTGTCCCCTCGGGCCCTGTGAAGCCTGGCCTCAGGAGTCCTGGGTGGACTGTGGAGTGTGGGCTTGGTCCCAGCAGCTGGGCTGGAGGGGCAGGCTAGGGGCTTTCTCGAAGTCGGGATGGAACCAGGAGGGGCTGGACAGGCCACAGCTGTGCATCTTGGAGCTTCCAACAGAATTTGTGTGTGCGCACACGTGCATGCGTGTGCACGCCAGTACTGGGGTGTGAACTCAGGGCCTGAGTACTATCCTAGCTTTTCTGCTCAAGGCTGGTGCTCTACCACTTGAGCCACACCTGCACTTCCTCCAACAGCGGAACAAAACCTGATTCCTGGCTGACCCAAGGTTAAGCTTCTTCCCGAAGGTGTGTCTTCTCCTGCCAGGGCTTCCTGGATAGGGGAGGAGTGCTGACGACAGTGACCCATTTCACCTCCAGGAGTCCTGTGTGGTGATGATGGCCGCAGCCTCTGCCCTCTGGACTGGTGAGGCCCGGTGGCCCTGGATGCTCATCTGCCGAGGTGTGCCGGTCACTGTACAGATGTGCCCATCCTGGCCTGGAAGGGCACTCCCAGGCTCTGGGGACAGTGGCCAAGGGTAGCCACCATGGGGTGGAGTGGCTGAAGGTCAGCCCTGGTCATCTCCAGGACTCTGCTGTCTATACCCGTCCTGAGGCCAGGGTCTCCTGCCCAAGGTTATTTTACTTGGAGTCCTTTCTGGGCATCACGTGGCCCACAGTCCCAAGCTGTACCAAGATGGAGTGGCACGGGCGCAAGGTCCCTCCTGGTGCGGGTCTGATTGTTAACGTCTTGGCCATTCTTGCCCATAGTGCACATGGGTGGTGGGGCATCCCTCCTGGCGTTAAGTGGGTGTGGGGAGGGAGGGGCAGAGGGTTGGGCAGGACCACCACCGGGGATGCCCATCCTGCACAGAAGCCCCCAAACCTGAGTCGAGGGAGGGAGGCGCTGCTTCCGGGTGTCTGCCACCTCTGTGCTCCCAGCCCAGGTCCCCAGGTCGGTGAGACTCGAGTGGGCAGGCTTTCCCAGGGCCACCGGGCACGGGCGCCGGGACACATGCAAATGCAGCAGAGACCCACCCGGGGTCTCCTGCGCTTTTGTGTATGTCTTCTGTCATTTTTCGTAGAAAAGCACATGCGTGCTTCCGTCTCTGTGAAGGAAGGACCCCAAATAAATACACGACTGCTGCTCCACAGGTCGCTGCTCCACGGGCCTGGATACTGGGGCGGACCCCGTCGTCCCTGGAACTGTCGGTGGGGACGGGCTCGCTGTCAGCATCCATCGGGGGAGGACGAGGACGAGGTCCGGCCAGGGGTGGCCCGGGCGGCCGGTCGCCGGGCACGTGGCCTCCGCCGGGCGGGCAGCGCCTCCAGGAAGCAGCCGGGGCGAGGCGGGCGCCGGGCTCGGGTGGGGACTGCATAGACATTACTGCAAAGGTGAGGGGGCAGGTGAGGGGGGTCCGGGGGGTATGTGGACCCCGCCCTGCCAGGCCTCCCGTGGCCAGCCGGACCTTGCCTGAACCAAGCCGGGCGCCAGCGCCGGGCTTCCCGGGCCACTGGACCGAAACAGGCCCGGAGATGCTTGGGGGTGGCCACCTGGGCGCCACAGAGCCCAAGGCGCAGCTGGGGCCGCCTGCGCCCGCCCTCCCAGCCTCAGTTTCCCCGTCGGTCGCGGGTCCCTGCCGGGCCTGGGCCTGGGCCTGGCCCGCCGCACTTACTGTGTCGCTCTCGCCGTCGGAGGCGGGCTGCCCCTGCGCGCAATAGTGAAGCGGGGAGTACACCCAGCTCCTCTCATCCGTGGGCTGCGCGGCCGGGGGGCGGGCGTGCAGGAGGGGCGCAGCAGGGAGGAGGAGGCGAGACAGCGGAGGCAGAAGGAAGAGACAGGAGAAAATAAAAAGAGGGGACCCACGCGGGCGAGCCCTCCGGGCCGGGCACGGGCCCCGAACCCAGACCCTGGGCGCAGCGCGGCGCGGGAGGCAGCGGGCGGCGGTTAGTGTGGTCCAGGCGCAGGACAGGAGGGAAGGACAGAAGGAGGGGTGCGTGGGGACGCTCTGCCGCGGGACCCAGCTCCTCCCGGCGGACCCCGCCCCCAACGCCTCAGAGCGAGGGCAAACCTCACGCCTCTAACCCCGCCCCGGGCCCCGCCCCACACAAGTGACTCCGCCCACGTGGCCACGCCCACAGAGAATTCCGCCCCATCTGGAAGCCCCACTCCTCTAACTCCGCCCCTCTATCCCCGCCCACGAGAGGCCACACCCACACACGAACGCCCTATCGGGAGGCCCCGCCCCCAACCTAACTCCGCCCCACCCCTCCAGCGCCTCTGCAGGCCCCACTCCCCTAACTGCGCCCCACCCGATATGTTGCGTATGTTGCCTCTGCCCCCAGCTTTTTCCAACACCTGCTGACCCAGGGCCCATCTGTTGGCCCCACCCTTCCAGCTGCTTCTCCACCCACTGGCCCTGCCTCCTCCCTCCCTCTGCTAGCTGCTTCCCCTCCCCTGCTAGCTCCTCCTCCTCCTCTTTAACCGACTTCCCCTCCTTCCAACCCTTGCCGGTCGGCCAGAGCTGGATCCTGGGTCCTTCGTGGGGTGCCTCTGATGCTCCGGAGCATAAACCACTGTTCCCGATCGCGGGGAGGCCTGTGGGGACCTGAACGCACAGCTGGCGGGCCATGCAGCCCTGGTGCCTGGAGCAGGGTCATCTGAGACAGAGCCGAAGGGAGTGGGGGGCGGCAGGGTGAGGACCAGTCAGGCTCACCTGAGGCCGCGTCAGGGGGGCTGCCTCCCTGCTGAGTCTGGGCGGGGGTGTGGGGCTATGTGACTCCCATCTGCTCCTGGTGGCCCGGGGCTTGTCCTCCTCTCTCATGCTCTCTGTGCGCCCAAGGTTTTTGTTTTCCAGATCCCTCTGGGTACAGCCAGCTTGTGGACTTCTGCCTGGGTCTGAACATGCATCTACTCTGGCTCCATCCATCTAGCACCTTTAGGCCCGGCCCTGATCTGTCCACTCCAAATAGCAGCTGAGACACCCCGCCCCCCCTCCAGCCCAGCCCAGCCATTGGTTATCCCAGTGTCCCTCCCTGCTGTGATCTTCTGTGCTGTCTAGGTGGGCCAGATCCTCACCTGCTGGGTCACCCCCCCTCCCAGGGGCAGCTCTGCCCAGGAAGTCCCACCCCAGGCCCACAGGAAGGAGTGACAGAGGCACAAAGGTACCAACACCTGTGAGCCGGGGAGGTGGAGGATCACCTCTCTGGCCTGAGAGGCCAGCCCAGGCGTCCTGCACTGCTGCTCCACACTGGAATGGTGACCGCTAGCTCTGTGAGCTTGTGCTGGGGTTCAGAAACATGGGATCAGAGGAGGCTCCCCAAGGCCCCCAGAGAGCCAGCCTGGGTGGGGGAGGAGGGGCTGGCAGTGGCCTGAAGGCCATGTCAGAGCAGGTTCTGGGAGGAGCCACTGCCCCTGGGCGGAAACAACTGGACACCAAGACCACATCACAGGGTGGAAGGGCCAGCTTCCCTGTCCTCTGGCAGGGCCACCGGGCCGCACAGTGCCTGGATGCAGGACCCCAGATCAAGGCCAGGGAACGTCGCCTGGGGCTTTGCCCTCTGGCTAGCCATTCCCCTCTCCTTCCCTGTGGTTGCCATGCTTCCGCTTCTGCTGGGCCCTGCTGAGGTTCCCTGTCCTTCCCGGCTTTCCAACCTAGACCAAGGCACTCAGTGAAGGCAAACAAAACAGACAGGTTGGCTGATGGGGCTGGGGAGGCTGCTTTGAGGGGGCTTCGTCTTGAGAACAGAGAGTCTTGCGCCTCTGCTCTGATGCTGTGCAGCTCTGGGTAGGTTACTCAGCCTCTCTGGGTGCTTGATGTTCAAATGGCAGAAAGAAGTGCCTAGACTTCATCTGTGCTGGTGCTCGGGTCTCTGCTGACATGTGGCCTGCTCTGTGCCACAAATCTGAACGGCAGGAAGTGTCCACTCAGCACATTGGACACCGGAAGGCTGGGATGAAGATGAAGGCCGGTGGGCAGGGGGAGGGGTCAGCTTAGACCCCGCCACGTCAGTACCTGCTTCAACCTGGGGCTCCATAGTCTCCTAGGACACAGCATCGGCCAGCCTCAACTAGTTATTTCCCCAGCGTCCTCGGAGAAGAGACGCTGGACACTGTACAGGGCCAGGGGGCCCGCAGCTCCCTGCTGGCCCGAGGTGGGCGAGGCCCCCTCTCCCCGGGTGGCCGGCTGCGGTCACTTACAGTGGCCGAGGCGCTTGGCGTCATGGCCCGCAGTCGGCGATGACGGGGAGAGAAAATCCAGTACCTCCCATCGGCGAACTGGCGGGTGCGGGCCGGCGGGAGGAAGGAAGAGAGGGTAGACAGGATGAGGGACAGGAACCAGGCAGGAAGAGGTGGAGAGACAGCAGGGCTGGCAGGCGGGGTGGGGGAGACATGCCGGCTGAAGCACGAGAAGGGGGAGGGGGGCGTGTGCAGGGAGCAGGAGGGTCCCACAGACCTGCTAGCCGCTCTGCAGGGACACGGGCACGTCCGGAAAAGACACGGTCCCAGGCCAACCCTACACCAGGCACAGACCAGCAACAGACCAGGCCGATACACACCGGGCCCCCAGGTGCAGGCCGGGGACTGACCCATTTCTGCCCCATCCAGGGCCAGGCCCGGGCTCTGGGGCCCACGGCAGGACTGAGAGAGTGGGGGGGGGATGTTAGTCAGGAAGCAACGCTGGCCTCAGGCTCAGGGCAGAAGCCCAGGCTGACCCCTGGAGCCCCAGGGGACCCCGATGGCTGAGGGGGAGCTCTGGCTGTCCCCAGCTACAATGTAGCCATTTGACATCTGAGTGGGGCTGGCCCCAGGATTCTGGGTTTTTGGGGGGGTGTCACTGGATTGACCATGTGGCAGATGGATGGGGGGTGAGCTCCGGGTGGGGGAAGGAGGGGTGTCCACTGGCACCCAAGGCCAGGCTGACCCAGCCTCCAGCGTTGGCAGCTTGCCCACCCTTGGAGAACGTTCTCATTTCCACACGGCCGAGGGTACCCAGGCCCTTGGCCTGAGCCAGGGTCTCCCCGAGAGAGTGTGAAGTGGGGTGGCGTGGCCGAGGCCAGAGAGGGGGCGTGGGGTAGGAGCTTGGTGGTGAGAGCCACGAGTGTGGAAGGGTACGTGTGCAAGGGGCCATGGCGCCCGTCCGGTGCCCACGCGGCACGTGGGGGCTGTGGGGAGGGGCGTGGGGGGCACATGGACACTGCACACGCCTGGCACTGGGCAACTTACAAAGTAGATGTCGGTGGCGGGCGCGTCCTCCTCGTCGGAGGCCTGGCTGGCGGGCTCCGAAGCCTGGCTGGCCGTGTCCACGTCCACAGTGACGGCAGATGCTCCGGCCGGGGCAGCCTCCACCCTGGGGACACAGGGCAGGCACACTGGGCTCCCGGGAGGTTCCCGACAGCTCCCATCTTCCCAACCTTCTGCCCCGATCCTCCCTGTGCCCCCTCTGTCTCACTGAGACAAACCCCCAGGTGGCTGGGGACGGGCGGTGAGCTTTCTCCCCCTCCCCCTCCCCCCAACTACTCCATGCAGCTGCAAGGACAGTGGACGGCCCCCCAATGCTGCGCCCTGTGGTCTGTGCCGTGGTGCACGGGTTATGACCAAGCCATGGTGGCCTTGGCACAGAACACGTGCAGCAGGAGTGAGCGACCTAGCCCTTTGCCAGAAGAGCCAGCCTTCTGGAGCCTCAGTTTCCTTGTCTGCAAAGTGGGGCAATATAGGATTCCCCCAGGGGGTCAGTCAGCCTGCTTTTACCCTTTCACGGTGTACTCAGGCCAGGGCCCAGCTCAGGCCTCTGAGCCTTCCCTTGTGGATTAGCCCTAGGGACAGAGGGGGGAAACTGAGGCTCAGGAGCGGACAAAGGTGTGTTCTTAAGTAGGGCCAGTGATTAAGTGTAAAGGCATACAGTTTATCTGGTGAATGGTGAGGGCGGGGACTGGCTCCTCTGTTAGGTTTAGAGTTTGTGATATTTTTTTGACAAAAAACTGAATGACAGCCAGATTTAAGCTGGGCGCCGGTGGCTCATGCCTGTAACACTAACAATTCAGGAGGCTGAGATCTGAGATTCAAAGCCAGCCTAGGCAGGAAAGTCCATGAGACTCTTATCTCCAATTACACCAGAAAACTGGAAGTGGTGCTGTGGCGCAAAGTGGGTAGAGCACTAGCCTTGAGTGAAAATGCTCAGGGATACCACCCAGGCCCTGAGTTCAAGCCCCAGGATGGACCAAAAAAAAAAAAAAAAAAAGCCAGATTTAGTAAAAGGTAAGACATGGATAGCAGCAAACCTGCCTGTGTCAAATGAACTCTCCGTGACACTGTGGAGCCAATCAGTGCCAAGAGTGCTTGTTAAACTCTGTGGGACAAACTCAATCACGAGCTGGACATGGTGGCTCATGCCTGTAATCCCAGCTACTCAGAAGGTTGAGATCTGAGGATTGAGGTCTGAAGTCAGGCCTGGCAGGAAAGTCCCTGAGACTCTTATCTCCACTTAACCACCAAAAGGCAGAAAATGGAGGTGTGGCTCCAGTGGTAGAACACTAGCTCAGGGTCTTAGTTCAAGCAAAATACTGTCTGAATAAATAAATTAGGGTTAGGGAAGTGAGGGCTGAGCTCAGTGGTTACGTTGTACACACCTGTGGACATTTCACTGAGACCCCTGTACAACCACTGGATGCTAACAAAAATCTTAAAAAAAAAAAAATCCCCAGGGCTGGGAAGGTGGCTCAGTGGTAGAGCGCTTGCCTTGCATGCCTGAGGTCCTGGGTTCGATTCCTCAGCACCACATAAGCAAAAAGAAAAAAGCCGGAAGTGGCGCTGTGGCTCAAGTGGTAGAGTGCTCGCCTTGAGCTGAAGAGCTGAGGGACAGCAGCCAGGCCCAGAGTTCAGGCCCACAATGGACCAAAAAACAACAAAAATAAATCCCCAAACTCCAACACATGATGTATGTGTGGGGCTCATGCTGTCATCGCAGTACGCAGGAGGTAGAGGCAAGACTGTGAACTCTCACCTAGCCTAGACTCTATAGCAGCAACACCATGTGTGGAAAACCCAGAGGCTGGGGGTGTGGCTCAATGGTGAGCACAAGGCCCTGGGCTCCATTTCCAGGAAAGAGTTTAAAAGGGAAAACTTTTTTTTTTTTTTTTTTGGTTGGTCATGGGGATTGAACTCTGGGCCTGGGCGCTGTCCCTCAGCTCTTCAGCTCAAGGCGAGCGCTCTACTACTTGAGCCACAGCACACTTCTGGTTTTCTGGTGGTTTCACTGGAGATAAGAGTCTCACGGACGTTCCTGCCTGGGTTGGCTTTGAACCATGATCCTCAGATCTCAGCCTCCTGAGTAGCTAGGATGACAGGCGTGAGCCACCAGCACCAGGCTATAAGAAAACTTTTATGAGCTGTGTTCAGTGTTTAAATCCTTAAATAACCCACAGACCAGGGTCTCTTCGGCATGTCTACATAGAGTGGTAGTGCCCAGCGCTGGACACAGGTGGCTTTTCCAGCACCATCCCCCACCACAACCGCGGTAGGGGATGCACGGGGCTGCACTCACCCCGCGTCCTCCTCCTTGGGGACCACAATCTCCACATTGCATGCGAGCTCCACCTGCACAGTGATCTGCTGCAGATCCTCGTCTGCACGCGGCTCCTCCTGGGGCCTGCAGGGGTGCAAGCCGAGAGCCTCAGTTCCCCCTGCCTGGTGCAGGTGCAGCTTAACGCCCCCCCCCAGGCAGCCACCCCCCCCCCCCCCCGGTCCCTCTGGAGCTTCATATTTAGGGGATGGGTGGATGGCAGCCCCACAAGCTCAGGCATCACGTATCTTGCCCTCCCTTCTGGGGTGGGGCTAGAACATTCTAGAAGCTGGGCTGGGATTGCAGCAATCAAGAGCGCAGCTCTGAGGGCTAAGGCCAAGTAGTCAGGGATGAGGGGAGGGGCTGGGACTTACCGGCCATCCTGTCCTGAGGACTGTGTGCGTCGCCTGGAGATGGTAAATGGGGTGGATGTGGTTTTTGGTGTTTTTTTTTTTGGGTCCGGTCATGGGGCCTGAACTCTGGGCCTGGGTGCTGTCCCTCAGCTCTTCAGCTCAAGGCTAGTGCTCTACCACTTGAGCCACAGCGCCACTTCCGGCTTTTTTCTTATGTGGTGTTGAGGAATCGAACCCAGGACCTCAGGCATGCCAGGCAAGCGCTCTACCACTGAGCCACCTTCCCAGCCCCAAATGGGGTGGATGTAAGGCCGGTGTCCTCGTTAGAGCCAGGCGAGGACAGCTGTTGTCTGTGCAGCCAGCCCACTGGCTACAGCTCCCACAGGGCTTCGAAGCCCCGTCCACACAAAGTCCTGCCTATGAAGACTGGAAGCTCCACCCACCTCATGCCCAGCACTGAAGCGCCACCCACTGGATGCCCCGCCCACTCACTGCAGCCACACCTCCCACCAGGCCTTGCAGCTCTGCCCACTAGCTTCCCTGTCACCCACTGCAGCCGCCCCTCCAGCACTCCACCTGCTCTGTGCCCCCTCCCCTGCCTCTTTCCCCACCCACCCACCCCTCCCTGGCTCACCTGTACCGCGGCTGCTCTGATGTCTCAGATGGCGACCGCTCTGGAATGGAGAGGGAGGTGGATGACAGGGTGGTGGCAATGGAGGCGGTGGTGGCTTCCTCAAAAGAAGGCGGGGTGCAGGGCAGGAGGTCTGGCCGGCCTGTGGGTGGAGTGGGCGCGTGGACACTCGGCCCATATGGTGGATCCACCCCCTGATGCACTCCCAACTGTCCCCCTGAACTGGCCACCCAGCACCAGCCTCTGCACACGGCGTTCAAAAGGCAAGTATGACTGCCCTGTGCCAGTGGCTCACACCTGTCATCCTAGCTACTCAGGGGGCTGAGATCTGAGGATCGAGGTTCAAAGCCAGCCCAGGCAGGAAAATCCACGAGACTTATCTCCAACAACCACCAGAAAACCAGAAATCGTGCTCTGGCTCAAGTGGTCGAGCACTTGCCTTGAGCTGAAGAGCTGAGGGACAGCGCCCAGGCCCAGAGTTCAAGCCCCACAACCAACAACAAAAGAAGGCAAATATGATTGAGTTTTCCTGCTTGCTTATAATCTTTTTGTGGCTTCCCACTGCTCTGTCAGACCCCAAACACCTTAAGCTTCTGGGCTGCCCTTCCCCTTCCTGCTCTCATCCCCTTTTCTACCCCCCCTGCCCCCTTTCTGTTTTGGTCGCTTGTGGAGCTTAAACTCTGGGCCTGGCGCTGTCCTTCAGTTCTTCAGCTCAAGGTGTGCACCCTACCACTTGAACCACAGCACCACTTCTGGTTTTCTGGTGGTTATTTGGATATAAGAGTCTCACAGACTTTCCTGCCTGGGCTGGCTTTGAACTGCGATCCTCATATTTCAGCCTCCTGAGTAGCTGGGATTACAGGTGTGAGCCAGCAGTGCCTGGCTCTCCCCTCCCTCATAACAGGCTGGGTCCTGCCCCAGAGCCTTTGCAAGGCTCTGCACGCTACCTGAGATGCCCCAGCCCCCCACTGCATGGAATCCTTCCAGGACAGCAGGCCTAGCCCCACGGAGTGCACCCTCCGTGACATCCTGGCACCCCTCCTGTGACCTGTTGGTTTCTATACTTAGTCCATGGCTCCCGCAATCCCACCCTGGAGGAGCCCATCACCTTCGTCTTCCAGCGTGGGGTAGCTGCGGGCCCCTCGAAGGTCGTACTGGGCCTCCTCCCGCTCGCTGGGGATCTGGCTGGCTGAGAAGGCGGCCGTGGGCCCCAGGGGCTTCACAGCCAGCAAGGCGCCGCGCCCCTTCTTAGAAGGGGAGGACTTGAGGGCTGTGGAGGGAGGCCGTGAGATCGGTGTTCAGAGGTCGTGACCCTCCTTCAGCCTCCCCAAAGCAGGGTCCTACGGGTCCCCCTCTGCCTCTGCACGCAGCTGGGCTGCATCCACGAGGGGGACCAGGGGTGGGGGTGGGCTGTGCTCCTGACTGATTTGTCCCAGATTGGGGAAGAAGGAAAGCCCAGCTCTGCCACGGGCTGCGGGGTGTGTGTGTGTGTTGGGGGAAGGGGGGGGGGGGCCTGGGAGGCTCCGCTCGGGACCTGCCCCCTCGAGGCGTCCCCAGGAACTGCAGGCGCGGCTGGTGCCTGTGACTGACAGCTGCCAGCCCTGCACTGTCCCAGCCCAGGCTCTCTGGGGTCCACTGTCCTCCATCCATCTCAGCTCCACGATGTCCGCCCCCCACCCCCACTACTTTCCTCCTGCTCCTTCCCTCACCCCCAGGCGCTGGGGACTTACAGGAATTCTTCCGAAAGACCGTGTTACTCATGAACTTGAAAAATCGCTCAGCGTAGAAGCTGGGGCGGTGGACGGAGACCGTGTCCTGGAAGAGAGGTGGTGGGTGGGAATGGTGTGTGTGTGTGGAGGGAGCGTGTTGAGCCCAGGCTGGGGGTGTAGGAGGCCCCATTCTGTGTAAATGCTCCCTAGATTTCAGGGGGGTCTCTGGGACCCAAGGAGTAGGGAGTGGGTTCACAGAGCCCTGTGCCCAAGAATGAGGTGGGAGGCTGATTTCCTCCTCCAGATAAAGCCATGTGCACTTTGAACTTTTTGAACTGTGTGAATGGAGTTAGGACTCAGCCAAGCAAATGAGTAAACACACAGGAAACCTGAGAAAGACTCCCAAACCCAGTGGGCCAAGCTTGGTTGTCTGCTTTGTAAATAAAGTTTTATTGGCACATGGCTGCACCCTTTCCTCTCTTTAGCCTCTGCTGCTTTGCCTTGGCTGAGCAGCATCCCTGGCCTCCACCCAGACCAGGAGCTCCCCAGCCCTAAGTGTCCCCCAGAGTGTCCCCCAACATTGTTCAGGGTATGGAGTCTAACAGAGGCAGTCCTTAGAAGTTCAGACATTATCAGGGAAAAACAAGGATGGTGAGGAAAGCATCTGCCTAGCAGAGACTCTACAAGGCTTATGGCCTCCATCAAAACTTGAGCTGGCTGTCCTAAGGCTTTGGACCTGTGTTCGGCCCTCGTAGTCTTTCATTTAAGGAAACTCACATGATGGGTGCAGGTAACTCACACCTATGATCCCAGCTACTCAGGAGGCTTAGATCTGAGAATCACAGTTCCAATCTCATTTCCAATGAACCACTCAAAAGCCAGAAGTAGAAATGTGGCTCAAGTGGTAGAGTACCAGACTTGAGTAAAACTGGGACAGTTCCTAAGCCTTTAGTTCAAGCCCCAGTACCAGCATAGAAAGAAGTAAATAAGGGCTGGGAAGTTGGCTCAGTGGTAGAGCGCTTGCCTTGCATGCATGAGGCCCTGGGTTCGATTCCTCAGCACCATATAAGCAGAAAAAACCAGAAGTGGCGCTGTTGGTCAAGTGGTAGAGTGTTAACCTTGAGCTGAAGAGCTGAGGGACAGCACCCAGGCCCAGCGTTCAGGCCTCATGACCAACAACAACAAAAAAGGAGTAAATAAAAATTAAAAAACAGTAGTCATGTGGGCATACTCATGGGGGTGTGTGGCAAAGGGGGTCAGAGCTGAGAAAGACGGGGACACTGCATATTTCTGGGCAGTTCTGACGTCCTGGCTCAGCTGTCCTAAGGAACGCTCCCTACACAATGTGGGGTCCCCTGCTCCAGGAAGCCAGTGTAGCCTCACCCTGGACTGGACCCCTGTAGGGCCTCCGTGGCTTCCTGGATTTCCCATGCTTCCTTGGCCCGAACAGGCAGACAGGGCTGTCACTGCTGGGCTGGGTAACCCAGGAAGGTGCCATGTCTCTGGGCCCAGCAATCACAAGTGTGGACTGATGGGCAGAACCGTGAAGGAAGGACACTCACCCCGTCGTGGACCAGGGCCTTCCATGTGTGCTCCAGCTTCTTGATGAACCTGTGGAGAGAAGGACCTAGGGGGTCAGCGCACTGGACGCGTGTCACAACCTTGGGCTAGACCCTAGATTAGGAGGTGAGCAGATGGTGGCTTGGAAGGCTTGGGGCCAGACCAGGGCAGGGGGGGTGGGGGGGTGTCGGACTATGTCAGGGGCGGGGCCACATTGAAGTGAGGCCAGGCCAGGAGGGCTGGACCAGGCCAGGAGGGCAGGGCAGGACTACCTTGAAGGGGGGAGGAGGGCAGGGCCACGTTGGGAGGGCGGGGCCACATCAGGGTGAGGAAGAGTGGGGAGCTACCTTGGGAGGGTGGGGCTACGTCAGGGTGGGGGAAGAGGGTGGAGCTACGCTGGGAGGGCGGGGCTATACCAGGATGGGAGGGGTGGGCTACGCTTTGAAGGCGGGGCTGCATCAGGGTGAGAGGGGCGGAGCTATCTTTTGAAGGCGGGGCTATTCAGGGTGGAAGGGGTGGGCTGTTTCAAAGGTGGGACTACGCCAGGGTGGGGCTACGTTGGGAGGGCGGGGCTATGTCAGGGTGGGGAAGAGGGTGGAGCTACGCTGGGAGGGCGGGACTGTCAGGGCAGGAGGGGCGGGGCTATGTTGGGAGGGCGGGGCTACGTCAGGGTGGGGAAGAGGGTGGAGCTACGCTGGGAGGGCGGGACTGTCAGGGCAGGAGGGGCGGGGTTATGTAGGGAGGGCGGGGCTACGTTGGGAGGGCGGGCCAGGCCGGCCACACCTGTAAGACTGCAAGATGTCGATGATGCCGATGTGCAGCAGCAGCCGCTCCCCACGCCCGTTCACGGCGGGGATCCCTCCCATTCTGTGGAGAGAACAGCAGGGCGAGTCAGCAATGGACTGGGCAGGAGGTGGGACGAGCAAAGTCGCAGCAGTCAGGGTCGAGGAGGCTCTGGGGCCAACACTCCACCTGCTCCCAAGGTGTCAGGTGGAGTGGGTTCCAGGCACCGGGAACCTCGGTCTCCGGGCGGGCGGGCGGGCGAGGGAGCGAGCGACTGTTTCTCAGGCTTTGCTGCGGCTCAGCTGGAGACTAGAGGAGGCTGGTGAGGGTCCTGGCTGTAAGACTTGGGGGCGCACACCTGCTCACCATGCTGTAGACGTGCATGCACCCAGAGCTACTCACGCATGCAATGCTTCCACGCCTGTACACGCATGCACACGCTTCCATGCTCGCACACATGCACACATGCGGCCATGCCTGCACACACACACACACACTTCCATACTTGCACACACGAACACACATCTATGCCTGCACACATGCATATACCTCCGTATCTGCACACCCATGCATTATTTGCACACACCTCCACAGCTATCTATATATTATATACACACACATACTCAACACCTGGCATGTGTCAATGGATATTCATGCATACACAGCTTCCATGGCTGCACACAGGGGCTTACACACCGTTGCACATACACATGCACTTACACACCTATGTAGCTGCATGCATGCACATCCTCATTCCCACACACACATCCATGCCCCCACAGGCACACTTATGCATGCATACAGTTCCATGCCCACTCACATGTGCATGCACATGCATGCGCACACACACGCACACCCCTTCCTGCATGGCCAGGAAGGTGTCGTGGGGTCTCAGGGGCATCTGGGGCATGAACTATGTTACTCAGTACAATGTGCGCATGCACCCCAGCCTAGCATGTTTAGTGACACTCGATGATGCAGCAGCAGTCCCAAGGCCACTTCAGTCCTGAGCCAGGGACCCGCCATGCCCGGCAGGCTGGGCTCTCTACACACCAGGCTCCCTGTGCTCACCTGCACCCGGCTGGGCCCGCACAGACCTAGCACATGCCAGGACAGTCTGGGACAGGTGTGTTGCGCTGGCATCTGCACGAGCCATCCCTCACCCCGCTTGAGGACATGGCTGGCTCCTCCTCTGTCCTCTGCTGACTGGTGGCCTACAAGCCAGTATCTAGTTCTATGGGGCCGGACTGTGTTTCCAATCTCTGTACTGTCACAACTACCCCCACTTATAGTTAGAGACTTGAGGGGGTGCCACCCTCCTCCAGGGCCAGGGCACATGTTGAGTAGGGCAAGAAAGCAGGCAGAGCTGGGAAGGTGGCTCAGTGGCAGAGTGCTTGCCTTGCATGCCTGAGGTCCTGGGTTCGATTCCTCAGCACCACATAAGCAGAAAAAAACAGAAGTGGCGCTGTGGCTCAAGTGGTAGAGCGCTTGCCTTGAGCTGAAGAGCTGAGGGACAGTGCCCAGACCCAGAGTTCAGGCCCCACGACCAACAACAACAAAAAAGCTGGGCGCCACGAGCTCACGCCTGTAATCCTAGCTACTCAGGAGGCTGAGATCAGAGGATCGCAGTTCACAGCCAGCCCCGGCAGAAACGCTGAGAGACTCTTATTATCAATAAACCACTCAGTAAAACCAGACGTGGTGCTGTGGCTCAAGTGGTAGAGTGCTCGCCTTGAGCTGAAGAGCTGAGGGACAGCACCTAGGTCCAGAGTTCTAGCACCATGACAGACAAAAAATAAATAAACAAATAAAAGAAGAAGCAATCAGGCAGAGGCTCGGGCTGGTCACTGGCCTGGCAAAGTGCAAACTGACCAGGGCACTCATCCATCAGTTCCCTAGGGGACGTTCTATAGGGTCTGGGGACATGTGGCTGTCACACTGAGGGGTCTCCTGACATGGAGTGGGGGGAGGTTCGGGATTACCCCCCCCCCCAGTGTGCATGGTGCCAAAGTGACCCCAGGTGACCCCAGAAGGATATATGGATACCAAGGCAGCTGCTCCGTGTCCTGGTGGCCATCGATTTCCCAGGGCCCATTCCTCCCTGCTGCCACCCCATGGACCCTCACAGCCCTGCCTTGGCAGGAAGGACTCCATCCACACACCCATGAACCCCCGAGACCGCACTACGCGGGCCTGAAATGGTATGGCTCATGGTCGCCGTGCCACGGCCTGGGAGGCCGATGCTCTGGGTCACGAGTGAGGACTCAGGGTGTGGAGGGGCCCTGGACCAGGCATGGCTGCCAGCTTCCTCTCCTAACTCAGGGATGAGCTGGCGCCCCGGGGGAGGGCAGGGTGGGAGGTGGGTGGCTCTGGAGGGACCCCGGTCTCCCCCCACCCCACCTACGTGTCATCCGTCTCGATGGCTTCCCCTCGGGCAGCCCCGCCCTGGATGGACTCCATGGCGGTGGAGTAGAGCGCCTTCTGGCCTACGGGCCGCTTCTCATCCGAGGTGCTCTGGGCGCCCTCCGCTTGCCGCTCTCGCTCTTGCTGGTCAATGTTGTGGACGCCAAGCAACAGGCTGTAGTCCATGATCTTGAAGCTTTCCAGCACCTGGCGGGGGAGACCCCAGATCACGACGTGCTGCGTGTCACATCTGAGGGACCCCCAGGCCCCCCCTCCCCGCAGCCACAGGGGTCCTGTCACCATCCCAAGGGACCAGAGGGTCCGCAGTTACAGCAGGCGCCAAAAACTGGGGCCAGTCCTCCACAGGCTATATTCCAGGAAGACCAGGACTGTGGCCACCCAGGCTCAGGGATGAGGAGGGCAGGTCACCCCTGGCATGGCTGGGGGTTTTCTGGGGATACCTGTCAAGTTCTGGAAAGCACAGGAGATTGCAGACACAGGTTCTGCTCCTGATTGGCTAGGGAAGAAGGTGGGGGCCATCTTATTGCTTTGGGGCTTTGCTAACGCACTCACTCGGCCCTCAGGCCCGCACAGGCAGTGGACGCTCAGAAGCAGGACCAGGCCTGGCGTCTCTGCCTCCATTTTGGGCCGGGTCTGCCTCCTTTCCTAGCTTAAACGCTGGCTCAAGATTCTTGCTGAGCTTCACGGAGCTATGTCTCCCTCCACAAGTCATTCCAGGAACTATGGGTCTGATGGACAAATGTCTCTGTGCAGAGTCAACCTCCTCATCTCTGCTAACACCTTAGGGCTCAGATCGTCCAGTGAGGCAGACTTCTTGCCTTAAAGCCCAAGTCACATGAAATGCTCAAGATGCCTGTGCATGTTCTCAAGTCTGAGTTCCATCTCGCACTTGCTAGGCAGCCGCTCCACCTCTTGAGACAAGCTCTCAACTTCAGCTTTAGTTACTTGTGGTTACTTTTCAGGCAGGGTCTAACGCTGCCACACTGAGACCCTTCTATCTACGCCTTCCAGTGTAGCTGGAATGACAGGTGCACTCCACCATGCCCAGTGTGTTGGAACGGAGGGAGATGGGGTGTCTCCCTGTTTCCAGGCTGCCGCTAAGTCTCCATCCTCCCTACGTCAGCCTCTCGAGTAGCCAGGTATGAGCCACAGGGCTTGGTTCTCCCCTGCCCACAGCCCCACTTTCTTTTTCAATACTGGAGTTTGAACTTGGGCCTTGTGCTGGCTGAGCCATGTCCCAGGCTGTTTTCTGTGTTGTTTCGGGATGAATGCCTAGATCTGGGCTGTTGAGACTCCCTGAAGTGCAGGTCCCACCTCTAGCCTAGAGCATCATGGCTGAGGAAGAACTGGGGGTGCAGTGTGTGGGCTGGCTGAGATTGCATGGCCACCAGGCGCTGGAATATAGAATTACTCCCCTTACAAGAGAACAGGCTCTGGGAGTGGGGGCCATGGAGCACATGGGTGGAGGGCGTGGCTTGATGGGCGGAGCTTGACTGTGGGCATGATGCTGAGGGATTAGTGGGCATGGCTTGGTCTGACCACGGGTGGGGCTTGGTGGGCAGGTGTGACTCGTGCTGGGCATGATCAAGGCTGACCATGGGCGGGGCCTGGCGGTGGGCGGGGCCTCACCAAGCAGTCTCGCTGCAGGGTCTTGACCAGGGCGCTGAAGGTGTCAGCGTCCAGCAACAGCCCCTCAGGCATGTCCTGCATGAAGTCCAGGTCCTTGTAGGTGGGCATGCTCTTCTCCTTCTCCTTCTTGCTGGCCCGCCGCTTGTACGTGGAGCCCTTGAGGTCGAACTTGAGGTGCATCTTGACCACGCGTGGCAGCACGTTGTTCATGACCACCACTCGGATGTTCTTGCCACCTGACTGCACGCAGTACAGCCCGTAGAACTTGGGCAGCAGCGTGCGTGGGTTCTGGTTCAGGTTCTGTCAGCCGGGGGAGGAGGATGGGGGAAGGGGGAGAAGGGAGAGAGAGACATCAGAAGGAGGGGTGAATCCATCCTGCCCCACCCCGGCACCCCAGATTTCTTTCAGAGAGCCGGTTCTGGTCTACCGGGCTTGTCCCACAGAGCCAAAATACCACCACTGGCCATGTGCACGGGTAGCTCAGACAGACATGGCCCACAATTTCTGGGACACTAGAGAGACGGGGGCATCAGGTAGGCCTGGCCACAGGCCACCGCCCCTTCCGGAGGTGGCTACCTAGGGCCAGGGGGGCCCTGTTTGCATGAGCCAGGCAGGCAGTCGGGGGCCAGAGCCTCACTGCCTCCCCCACGCCTCCCCCACAGGGACCCCTTCGGCGACCCCCGGCCCCCCCACGCACCATGTAGTAGCCGGGCAGTAGCTTCTGCAGGAACTCGGCCTCCTTGTGCATGACCGTCTTGATGATGAACTCGTCGTCGCTGGTGACGTAGAACAGCGAGCCGCTGGCACCCGGATTGGACAGTTCAATCAGTGGCTCATTGCACAGAGAGTACTGGAAGGCAGGGGCGGGGTGGTGAGAGGCCCAGAAATAGAGGCCAAGTAAGGGAGGAGCAGGAACTTGACCCAGATCACATAGGGAGGACCTGGGTGCTGACTGCTGGGTGCATTCCCCAGGGGGCCTTCTCTCTCTACCAGTAACCGACACCTGGTGACTTTCAGAGAGCTCTTCTGCCCTCTCTCCTTCCCATCTACTTCCCACCTGAAACCTTGACGTGACAGCTGGAGCCCCAGGAGCCATGCTGGGCCACGAGGGGACTTTCAGGATAGAGGTTATCTACCAATGACAGCGGAGAGAGGAGGGCTGCGTGTCTAACGTGCACAGCTTCTCCATGGACCCCCAGCCCTGGCCCTCACTCCCCGTGTCTCTTCCCCGCTTTCTCTCTACTGACATGTGGGTGTCACTCTGTCTTCCTCACAGGCCGGGGGTGGGTGGTGGTGGCTGAGGAGGCACGTCCAAGCTGTAGTCATTGCCAGGCCTGGCCATATGTCTGTCCTTTCTCCGCCCACAGCCACGAGCCACAAATATCCACAGGAGACAGAAGCCCATGCCCAGCTCCGGCCCTCCCCTCCCAAATCGTGGCTCGCAGAAAGGAAGACCTGGGACCCATTTTTCTACTGCTCTAAGCGAGACCACCTCAGCAATCACGTGACTTGGCTTCTACCTCAAACCCCGGGTGCGCCTTAGCCCCTCTCACTGCCCGGTGGCCTTCGCAGGAACGCTGGAGAGACTCGAGACACTGGAACTGGGAGACAGAGCCTGGAGCAGCAGCACCCTCAGGAGGGGTAATGCACAAAAGCTCATGTGTGGAAGGCTTGGCTCCTCCCCAGGTGGCACCTTTTAAGAGGTAGAGCCAGTTGGGGGCCGGTGGCTCAGACCTGCAATCCTAGCTACTCAGGAGGCTGAGATCTGAGGATCGCAGTTCAAGGCCAGCCCAGGCAGGAAAGCCCATGAGACTCTTATTTCCAATTAATCACCAGAAACCCGAAGTGGTGCTGTGGCTCAAGCAGTAGAGCACTTGCTGTGAGCTGAAGAGCTGAGGGACAGCGTCCAGGCCCAGAGTTTAAGCCCCACCGACAAAAAAAAAAAAAAGAGTGAGGTCCTGAGTTCTAACCCTAGTACTGCAAAAAACAAACAAAAAAGCCAAACCAAAAACCAAATATGAAACAGGAGTGAATCCGAACTATATTCCCATGTGGAAATATCACAATGACAATGAAATCCCTCGGTGAAGCTAAGGCCATGGGGGACATACATTTACCCAGCTTCTCTTGCAGCTAGGTTTGCTCATGTGACTGTACTCAGCCAATGAGCTTAGAGAGGTACAGAAACTGTGTGATTTCCTGGTTGTGGCGTCCCTTCCCCTCTTTCTCTTGCTCCCTGCCTTTAAATCCCAGCCCTCCATGGTGAGTTCACACCTGGTGCTGTTCTCAGTCACTCATAGGGTGACAGCTTACCAAGTAATCATCTGGCCGGATCCCAAAGAGCTCCCGGAAGTAGCGGAAAGCGACAGGGGCATAAGTCTTGAACCGGAAGTCCTGGAAGTGGTGGGCAGGGGTGAGGTTGCTGCCTTCACTGCGGAGGAGGACGCAGGGGGGGATGTCTGTGAGGAGCAGTGGGTTTTAGGGGCACCTCTCCCCATATGTCCCAATACCCAGCCACACAAAGGCACTGTGGCCGGCCCTGGGCTCTATCCCAGTGACCACTCTGTCCTGTCTCTTATTAGCAGTGGAGCCCACCACACATGGCCCAGAGTGAGATGTCCGCTCCCACTGCTCTTGCAGCTAGGCATGGTCATGCAACTCCACTCAGCCAATGACGTGCAGGCAGACTGGAAATGATGCATATTATTTCCTGGTTATGCCTTTTTACCCTGTTGGAATGCAGATGTGATGGCAGGAGCTTGGGCTCCCACCAAGGACCTCTGGTTACACAAGTCTCTTATTAGAATGGAAGAACTGAGCAACAAGTTGACCTGTGAACCCCAACATCATAAAGTCAGCTGACTAGCCATGGATTTCCTAGTTATTTATCTATGCAATAGTCCCAGTCCTTGTTGTTGTTGTTGGTTGTGGGGCTTGAACTCAGGGCCTAGGCACTCTTTGTGCTCAAGACTAGCCCTCTAACACTTGAGCCACAGTGCCACTTCCAGTTTTTGAGTGGCTAATTGGAGATAAGAGTCTCACAGGAACTTTTTATTGCCCAGGCTGGCTTCAAACCACAATATTCAGATCCACACCTCCTGAATAGTTAAGATTACAGGCATGAGCCACAGGCGCCTAGACTTTTTTTTTTGGGTTGTTGTTGTTGTTTTTGTTCCTGATAGGGTATTCTGCTAACTTTGCCAGGGCCCATCTTGAGACCATGATCTTTCCTCTGCTGGGACTATAGGAGTATGCTACCATACCATGCTTGCTTTTAAGTTTAAGTCTAGTGCTAACTTGGCTTAAACTAAGCTCAAATCTTTTTTTTTTTTTTAATCATAAAGGCATTTTATTATCCCACATCCAGATTTAGAGTGGTATGAAGATTACTTATCTCAGTAGCTCAACAATGCTCTCAATAGCCTCAAATCTTGATCCTTCTACCTCCGCCTCTCAAGTAGCTGGGATTACAGGTGTACACATTCACACCAAGATACTTGCAGTTATTTATTTAGATGGTACTTGAGTTTGAACTCAAGGTGTCATACTACCTAGGTAGGTGCTCTACCAGTTAAGTCACACCTCCAACTCTTTCTGCTTTAGTAAAATTTTCATATAGGCTTCTCCTTTTATTCCCTGACCAGCCCAGACAACAATTCTACTTACTCTTCTTTTGTAGCTGGGATGACAAATACGTGTTACCTTGTCCACCTTTTTACTGAGTGATATAAGATCTTGCAAACATCTTTCCCAGATTAGCCTTGAGTAGCTGTGATTGCAGGCACGTGCCTTACTGGGTCAGATTGTTCTCTCTCTCTCTACTGGGTCAGATTGTTCTCTCTCTCTCTCTACTGGGTCAGATTGTTCTCTCTCTCTCTACTGGGTCAGATTGTTCTCTCTCTCTCTCTACTGGGTCAGATTGTTCTCTCTCTCTCTCTACTGGGTCAGATTGTTCTCTCTCTCTCTCTCTCTCTGGCTTTGAACTTGAGGTGTCAAGTTTGCTCAGCTTGCTTGTTCTGCTGGCACTTTATCATTTGAATCATGCCTCCAGCTGGGCTTTTTGCTGCTTACTTGGAGATAAAGAGTCTCATAGACTTTTCTGCCTGAGCTAGCCTCAAACTGGGATCCTTCAGATCTCAGTCTCCTGAATACACTAGGATGATAGGCGTCAGCTACCCAGCTCCAGGCTCTGGCTGATTCTTTTTTATGTAAGAGGAAAAAAAAAAAAGATTGCTCCCCCCCACTCTTGCTCAGGGGAGGCTGCAGGGTCTCCACGTGAGGAGCGAGGTGTCATAGGCCAAGGGTGGGCCCGGCCCTACCTGGGGAAGAAGATACTCTCCACCACGTAGAAGTCCTGCATGAGCACATCACGTTCAGGCTTGGAGCTCAGGTTGCCCACGGTGTAGCCGATGCCCAGCTGGATGGCACCCTTCAGGGTGGATGAGGTTGTCTGCAGGGGATGGGGAGGGGAGGAAGAACCAATGGCATCAATTCCCTCGGCCTGTGTGCCTTCTGCTGTCACCGGGCCCCTGTTCCTGCTGAACCCCAGCTGCCACCCAGCCCTGCCGGAAGCCGGTGACCACCCGCTATGGGCTGCAGGGAAGGAGTGTCAGCAGGGGAGGGGTGCTCTTGGCCACACTGCAGGGCAAGGGTCTGGCCTGACTTTCTTTTTTTTGTCAGTCATGGGGCTTGAACTCGGTCTGGGCGCTGTCCCTCAGCTCTTCAGCTCAAGGCGAGTGTTCTACCACTTGAGCCACAGCCACTTCTGGTTTTCTGGTGTTTTATTGGAGATAAGAGTCTCACAGACTTCCCTGCCTGGGCTGGCTTTTAACTGTGATCCTCAGATCTCAGCCTCCTGAGTAGCTGGGATGACAGGCATGAGCGCCGGTTCCCCGGCTGGCCTGACATTTTTTTTTTTTAGCCCCAGAGCCTGGTTTCTGGCTACATTCTAGAAGGTTCCCACATCCTAAAACTACTTGGGCTTGTTTTATAGAGAGCCACAATTCAGAGTGACCTCTCAATTACTTTAATTTCTATTCCCATAAACTCTAGTTCCCTTTTTTTTTTGAGGGGGATGGGAAACCCAGGTCCCTGTACTTGCTCGGCCTGAGCTCTCCTACTTGAGCCACACCCCTATGGCTTGAGAAGCTTTTTTTTTTTTTCTTTATCTTGGTGTGGGGCTTGAACTCAGGGCCTGGGTGTTGTCCCTGAGCTTTTTCACTCAAGGCTAGTGCTCTACCACTTTAAGCCACAGCTCCACTTCCGGTTTTCTGGTGGTTCACTGGAGATAAAATCCTAACAGCCTTTCTTGTCTGGACTGGCTTCAAACTGTGCTCCTCAGATCTTGGCCTCCTGAGTAGCTAGGATCAGAGGTGTGAGCCACCTGCCCCTGGCTAGTTCTTTTTCTGATAGTGTCTACCTTGAGTTTTTTGGTTCAGAGCTAGCCTCAGATCACACTTCTGTTTATGCTTCTTCCCTTAGTAGCTGAGATCACAGGTGGGTACTATCGTGCCCGGCTTGTTGGCTAAAATGAGGTCTTATGAAGTTTCTTTTTTTTTTGGGGGGGGGTGGTCAGGGCTGGCCTCAAACCATGAATCTGCTGACTCCCCATCTCCGGAGTAGCTAGGATGACGGCACGATCTGGCCGTTCCACTGGCTCTCTCCTCGATTGCCTGAGCCTGTTCCCACTCCTGGAAGCTGTGGCTGGCTCCGGTCAGGAGCTCGGGCGCTCTCAGCAGCACATGCTGCTCGTGTTTTTTTCATGGCCATGGGGGGGGGTGCCTCGCTCCCTGAGCACTTTGGGGGAGCCACCCTCTGTCCCCAGTGGCAGGAGCCATCCCTCCCAGGCCTGTTCCCATTCTCTCATTTGTTGGGATCATCCAGCTCTCCAGGGAGTTCCTCACAGTCCCACATTTGGGAACGTGCCATGTGACCCCGATTGCTGTCCTGGGGGACTCAGCTGAGACCCTCAGGGGCCCCGCCCCACCACACGGCGACTCGGGGCGGGCGAGGGACCTTTTTGTAGGTGGTCTCGCCGGATGCGTCCACGCCTCGGTGGCCTAGCTTCTTCCCATGGCCAGGGCCGGGCTGTCCAGTCACCGACGGGGCCTGAGGACAAGGAAGCGGGAAGCGTCAGGTCAGGGAAGAGGCGGGAGCAAGTCTGGAAGGCCCCAGGAAAGGGGGTGAGTCGCTGCGCCCCGGGAGGGCGGCGTTGTGGACGTGTCCCAGGGGCCATCACCAGGCTGATGGACAGCAGAGGCTCTGGGATGGGGGCATCCAGCCGCCACCCACCACTGGGGCCTCAGTGCCCAGCTCAGGGCGTTCTTGGCAGCAGCCACCAGGGGGCGTGCTTGTCCCATGTAGGCCTCCTCCTGTCCTGGCATCTCGGGGTCCCACTTCCTGCCTCCCCATCCAAAGATCTGTCCCTGGCCCCGCGGATGGAGTCTTCCCGGCTCTGTGGACACGGGAGGCTCAGGCAGGGCACAGGATGGGTGGCTGTCCCAGCAGCGTGGCCTGTCAGGGCTGCGGTCCCTGTGGGGTGCGTGTGGGGACACAGGGGGGTCCCCAGCCTCCCCCACCCCAACTCAGGCTGGCAGGACAGATGGGATGTTCACCCCACCTGACCACATTCTAAAATGTGGGCCCAGAGAGGTACAGCGAGCGGTCTGAGGACACACAGCAGCAGACGGGGCAGCTAGGACGCCTCTCTCCCTCGCCCAGCTTCTCACGGAGGCCAGTCTGCACGGGACCCCAGCCCTCCGCCCCGGGGCTCACCTCAGTCAGGGCCGTCTTCTTCTGAGCCAGACCTGGGAGGGAAAAGAGAGTTTTCAGGGTGAGCCACACTGGGGGTCCACCCTCCCTCCCCTCATCCGAGGCAGGTTTGTCCCCGTTTGATCTAGAAAGTCCTTGGGTCACAGGTGCGTGGAGAGGCCCAAGTGCCACCCAGCCAGGACTGGCACCTGTCCTGCCCCGGGGGCCTTGACCTCTGCCCCACCCCTCCGGCCATCACGGACCAAGGAGGGGACAGTGAGTAGCCCGGGCTTCCTGTGGGACGCTGCCCGGTCAGGGCGGGTTGCACTGCCGTGGGGAATGATGGGAGCCATGGGGGGGGAACCGTGTCCACTCCGGGCCTTCTCCAGGGAGAAGCCTGCAGCCACCCTGCCCTGCCCTCCCCTCCCCCCCCCCCGCGTCTGCCACAGGCACCTGGGGTACCCAGCAGCACACGTCCACCCAGCGGGCACGTGGAAAAGGCCGGGGACCATGGGGGGGGCTACGCTATTGGGGGAGTGGGGTCCAGGCCCGAGTCACCACTGTCTGGGGTACAGAGAAACCATCCACGGCCACCTGGAGCTTCAGGGAGGACGCAGGCTGGGGATGGCGGTGGCCCGGGGTGCCGGGGAGGGCCTGCTGCGCGGACCCCAGAGCCCCAATCCCTGCCCAGTGGGGGGGGGTGTCTGTCATGGTCCCTGGGCTGTCCCCAGGCAGAAGAGGGGGGTGGCAGGGGGGCGCCAGCTTCCCTCCCGGGTGCTGGCATGGGGCACAGAGACGTGAAGGTGGGCATGGAGAGCCTGGCTGAGCTGGGGTCCGACCCTGTGCGTCCCCCCGAGATGCTGCTGGACCCCAAGTGTGGAGCTCAGCCCACCTGGGTCACCCCTTCCTAGGACAGGCAGGGCTGCTCCAGGGTCCCCTCATCCTGCATCTCAGGGGCAGCCCTGAGCTGGGGCGCGCCCTCAGGCCCCCCAGGTGGCGGAAGGTGCTGGAAGCTGCCCTGGCGTCCTCACAAATGATTCCTGGGTGAGCCCGGGCGCGGGGCATGCGCGGTTCTGGACCTTGTTGAGGAGTCCGGGGCCGCTGTCCGGCCAACGGGCACCCTGTGTCTTGGTGTCCCCAACACCAGCTGTCCCAGCCTCTGGGGAACCTGATGGGCCAGGGCAGGTCACCCGACACCTGGCAAACCTCACCGCCACCCTCACCTGCTGTTCTCTTTTCGTCAGTGATGGGGCTTGAACTCTGGGCCTGGCGCTGTCCCTGAGCTCTTCAGCTCCAGGTGAGCGCTCTACGCGGGAGCCACAGCGCCACTTCCTGTTTTCTGAGTGGCTCATTGGAGATAAGAATCTCACAGTCTTTCCTGCCCGGGCTGCTCTGAACCGTGAACCACCGATCTCAGCCTCCTGAGTAGCTGGGATGACAGGCGGGAGCCACGGGCGCCAGACTCACCTGCTTTTCGGGGTTTTGTTTTGTTTTGTTTTTGGGTCCGGTCGTGGGGCCTGAACTCTGGGTCTGGTGCTGCCCCTCAGCTCTTCAGCTCAAGGCTAGCACTCTACCACCTGAGCCACAGCGCCACTTCCGGCTTTTTTCTTTTTGCTTATGTGGTGCTGAGGAATCGAACCCAGGGCCTCAGGCATGCAAGGCAAGCGCTCTACCACTGAGCCACCTTCCCAGCCCATGAGCCATCTTCCCAGCCCCTCACCTGCTTTTCTAAGCCTCAGGTTTTCTACCTGTAAAATGAACCCAGGCCAGAAGACGATTCTAGAAGGCCCTGGTTGGTTCCTGGCAAAGCCACCCCTTACCTTCCCCTGCCTGTCACCCTGCTCTCAAAATCCGCAGCCCCCCCCCCCCCCCCGGGGCCTGCAGCCCCCATCCCAGTTCCTTCTGGCTGGGGCCAAGCCCAGGAAGGTTTGTTGATGGATTGACATCGCTCTTCCTCTGCACCACAGACTTCAGCCAGGCCTGCCTCTCCCACTGAATGGGGAAACTGAGGCTGGGAGCACTGAACTGGAGCCACACCCCCAGCAGGGTGGCTGCTGGAGGAGGTGGGGGGACTGAGAGGAAGTGGGAAGGAGCTGGAATTCAGAGGAAGCAGAAACTGCAAGCTGGGCTTGGGGAGGCGGGAGGCGGGGTGGTGGGGGAGGTGTCACCAGCCCTGCCCCGTGACACTGTGTCCCCTCTAGGACCTGGGCTGCGCTGTGGAGAGTGGGGGCGGGGGTGTTTCTCCAGGAAGCCACCGCCCAGGTGGAGGAAGTGCTAGGGCGTGTGGGAAGTAGGGGTGGCTGGCAGGCCCAGAGGAAGGCATAGCATTTCCATCTACCTCCTTCCAGCCCTGACCGTTTGAGTAATTTCCCTTACAAGACCCCATCTCTCACCCGCCTCCAGCCCCGCTCCCTCTCCTCCAGGCCTTCTTGCTGCTCCTTCAACACTGCAGGCTCTGCCTGCCACAGGACCTTTGCACAGGCTCACCAGGTGACCATCTAGCCTTTGACCACTGACTCCTGGGGACCCCAGGTCTGGGCTGCACAGGGCCAGGCTAGATGCTGTGTTCTCACGTTTGCTCCTTTATAAAAGAGGTCCTGTTGCTGGGCGTCAGTGGTTCATGCCTGTAATCTTAGCTACTAAGGAGGCTGAGATCTGAGGATCACAGTTCAAAGCCAGACTGGGCAGAAAAGTCTGTGAGACCCTTATCTCCAATGAACCACCAGAAACTCAGAAGTGGTGCTGTGGCTCAAGTGATAGAGCGCTAGCCTTGTGTTGAAGAGCTCAGCGACAGTTCCCAGGCCCATGGTTCAAGCCCCAAGACCAACAACAAAAAAAAGGGGGGTCCCGTGGCAGCCACAGATGCCAGCCCCAGGCTGCACAGCCATGTAATGGCTCCGGCCCTGCCCCGCACTGGGGCAGTAAGGACAGCAAAGGCAGGAGGTCTCGGCAGGAGGAAGGTGAGCAACTGAGGCCTGGTCCCTGCCCTGCTCTGCCCCTCAGTCCACAGCGCGGCCGGCCGGCGGGGTCTCCTGGAGGCCAGCGCTTAAGCTGAGTCAATAGTAAAAAGCCACAGGGCTCTGCACAGAAACCCGGCTTTCCTGAAAAACAAGCAGGTTCAGAGATGAAAGACAGCCTGCCTGGCGCCCGCTGGCTGAAAACACAATGTGGCCTCCCGTCCAGTCACCCGCCGGCCACCGCCAGCTCGGCTTAATGATGCCTTTGCCTGTGGCCATTCATGAGAGATGAAGAAGCATCAGCGCTGTTCAATGGGAAGCAGACATCCAAAAACTGCCCAGAGATGGAAGCTGGGGTGTGGCTCAGGGCTGGAGTGCAGGTCTGGGGCTCGATTAATCCCAGCATTAAAAAATAGGAGGATGCAGCTGGGCGCTGGGGGCTCACGCCTGTCATCCTAGCTACTCAGGAGACTCAGATCTGAGGATCGTGGTTCAAAGCCAGCCCCGGCAGGAAAGTCTGTGAGACTCTTAATGCAATGAACCACCAGAAAACAGGAAGAGGAGCTGTGACTCAAAGTGGTAAAGCACTAGCCTTGAGCAAAAGAGCTCAGGGACGGCGCCCAGGCCCCAAGTTCAAGCCCACAACCACCTGAAATGAGGAAGGAAGGGAAGGTGGGAAAGAGGGAAGGAGGGAGGGAGGGAGGAAGGGAAAGAGGAAGGAAGGAAAGAAGGAAGGAAGGAAGGGAGGGAGGGAGGGAGGGAGGGAGGAAGGGAGGGAGGAAAAAAGGCAAGCCACAAAGAAACTAAACAAGCAGCCCACTGTGGTAGCACAGCCTGTGTAGAGAATGAGATCCTGTCTCAAAAACAAAGGAAGAAGTCAAGCACCGGTGGCTCATGCCTGTCATCCTAGCTACTCAGAAAAGCTGAGATCAGAGGCTGGGAAGGTGGCTCAGTGGTAGAGCGCTTGCCTTGCATGCCTGAGGTCCTGGATTCGATTCCTCAGCACCACATAAGCAAAAAGAAAAAAGCCGGAAGTGGCGCTGTGGCTCAAGTGGTAGAGCACTAGCCTTGAGCTGAAGAGCTGAGGGACCGTGCCCAGGCCCAGAGTTCAGACCCCACAACCGGACCCAAAAACAAAACACGAAAGGCTGAGATCTGAGGATCATGGTTTGAAGCCAGCTGGGGCAGGAAAAGCCTATGAAAATCTAATCTCCAATAAACCACCAGGAAACCAGAAGTGGCGCTGTGGCTCAAGTGGTAGAGCGCTTGCCTTGAGCTGAAGAGCTGAGGGACAGCGCCCAGGCCGAGTTCAAGCCCCATGCCTGACCAAATAAAAGAGGGAGAGAGAAAGAACTTAAAAGGAAGAAGGCTGGAGCCTGTCTTTATGGCAATGTTCGGGCAGAAACTCCAGGAAACCCGTTCCCATCAATGGCAAGTTGACCATGCTGAGGACGCTCCAGTAGTGGAGGTGCTGACCAGCGCAGTAAGACAAGAAAAAATAAATAAAAAGCAATAGAACTGAAGAGCTCTACACAATTTTAATGAAGGAATTTAATATGTTTTAATGAAGAAATTACAAACTCTGGAAGAGAGCATGTGGGCTGGGATCAACTCACGGTCACGCTGGGAGAGAGGGAGAGCCAAGCCCTCTGCACCCACCATGGGCTCTTTATGTGCCCGAACCTGGCCAGGCGGTTATTTGGGTTTGGGGGTTTTGCTTTTGGTTTTTGGTCAGATTGTGGGGTTTGAACTCAGGGCCTGACCTCTGTCCTTTACCTCTTTTGCTCAAGGCTAGTGCTCTACCACTTTGGGCCATGGCTCCACTTCCGGTTTTCTGGTGGTTCACTGGAGAGAAGAATCTCCCTTTTCCTGCCTGGGCTGGCTTCAAACTGCGATCCTCAGTTCTCAGCTTCTTGAGGAGCTTGGATGACAGGCATGAGCCACCAGTGCCCAGCCTAATTTTTGCCTGTGAAGTGCAAATGATTCCCACTGCTGGGTACCCTGGGGGACCACCCCCCCCATCTCCACAGGCATCAAGATTTCTGGAGATTCCTAGAAGCTGCTGTCCCTACCTGTGTCAATCTCAAGGGGCTGCAGTA